CTAGAGTAGTACAGTTAGAAAAGAAGCTCTGCTGAAACTAGCCAAAAATGCTTACCTGTATATACTCTTGCAGAGAGAGATCCCAAGGACACCTGTTTTTATCTAAAATAAACACACATACACACACACGCACACATATATGTTCACATGTTCACTTTGCATTAATTCAGCTACTGTGGAAAATTGTTAGTGCTTTTTATTTATTTATTTTTCTTCTCCCTTCTACTGCAGGGTTGTTGCTGAAAGTGCTATTCATAGAATCATAGAATGCTTGAGGTTGGAGGGGACCTCTAGAGGGCATCTAGTCCAACCCCCCTGCACACACAGGGTCACCTAGAACACATCCAAGCGAGTTTTGAAGATCTCCAGAGGAGACTCCACAACCTCTCTGGGCAGCCTGTTCCAGTGCTCTGTCACCCTCACTGTTAAGAATTTTTTCCTTAAGTTCCTGTGGAACTTTCGGTGCTTCAGTTTCCGGCGAATTCCTCTAGTCCTATCAGTGGCCACCACTGAAAAGAGGCCAGCACCATCCTCCTCATCCTATTGCTGCTTAGTTGCAAAGTTTTAGGAGTTTGGCACTAAAATCATTCCTGGAGTTTGAGGATCCTTATTAATGGGACATTCTATAGTTCTTCTAAAATGGTGTTTCTGTTTGGCTTTTTGTTGTCTTTCATAATTGATCAGAATGTGAAAAGAGTTTAAAGCAGAGGGGGGCAGGAGGGAAAAGCTTAAATGGGGGAATGTCATTCCAGCTGTGTCTTGTCAGTCAGTCATTGATGTAGGAATATAAATATGTATTTGAGGCATTTGTTAAAAACATTTTTCCTGTTTTTACTTCAATAAAACTGAGTTTGTACAAGTATGAGATGTTTGTACTTTGCTAAGTTCTGCTAAACCTGCTGAATTAGTTGATTTTTTGTTTTGTTGCCTTTCTCATTTTCATTGGGATCCTCTTACAGTGACTGATCAGTGTAAATTACTCATCAGATTGGAAAAAAAAATCATATGAGGACTTCAGATTTTCTTCTCACCAGCTGTTCCCCAAATAAATTCTTTAAAAATTAAAAATTAGTTACAGGATCAAGTAAATTATCTTATGAGGTTAACAGTAGCTACAGATAATCTGTAATATGAAATATTACAGAAAACTTACAGCGTTTATAGTGTTGAAATGTAATGTTAAAGGCTTCTGACTGGCTTTGAACTTTTTTAATGTACAGCTACACTCAATTTATTGGACAGTATTGAAATGTGAATATTGATGCATTAAAATAGCCAAAAATAACTTGTTGAAAATGGTTGAGAGAATGTAAGTGGAAGACTTTCAAAAAGCAGTGTGGCTAAATAAGATGTGGAAAGAAGTATTTGTTGGACTTTCTTGTGATTGCTTAGTGTAGCTTTTTCCTAATGATTTATGACCATACCTATCTCTTTCCTTTTTGATATTTGCAGAAGAGTAGGAAATAAATATCAGACTTACTAGGTTGTCATCTTACACAAGTTTAACTTCTAGTTTATGCTTAATTGTAAAGAATGTAATGAAGTGCTCAAGTTTTACTCCAAATGTGTTCCCCTATATAAGGGAGGGAAATAACTATCTTGAAAACTAACTTTTTTTTTTGGTGTTCATTTTATTGTACCGATTTATAAACTACAGTGCTCAGTTTGTAATTCAAGTAATTATGAGCTCATTGGTACATAATGGTGCCGTATTTTCTGTTGCATTTTCACGAGCTGCAGTTGGACACAGTGTGAGTGCATCAGCCATTTGTACGGTGTTCTTAGCTGATGAGTATATTTATGCCAACTATAGGAGGGTTGAGTTCTTACAGTAAAAATTCCAGATTGACTTAAAATGCAGATATTTGTAGTTCTTGCCTTGTAAAATTATTGTCTTCAAAACAGACCTTCATATGTTGTAGAACACTGGTAGTAACTTTGAATATTCTAGCAGAGACAACAAAATTATCAAACAGCCATGTTTTGGGGAGTTTAGCTTTTGCTGTGTGAAAGAACTAACAAGGAGAAGCAATTGGGTTTATATCTATGTAAATAAAGGGCTTGAATTCCCCACATGGGGATATTTTGAGAGGGCAGCTGCTGCAGTTACAAGAATAGTCAGTGCTTTGGAAGTGGCCTTGCCAAACATCTTGCCCTGGGATTGAAGAAAAGAGAGAAATCCCTCCCCTAATGTCTGCCTAATGGCCTTTATGTCTAAAGACATAGGGGCCTGAAAGGCTTGATCGGAACCTTTAAACTAAATTGTTACAAAAGACTTTTTACTTCCAAATTAAGGAACAAATGATAACAGAATACACTACCTATGAATATCCATCACTTTTTGTGATACTGATATAATAAATTTATTAGAATATGTACAAAATATGATTGTGCTCTTATTAAGCAGCAATGTGACAGAAGTGAACCAAGTGTTGCATGGAATGCAAATATGGTTACTAAATCTATTAGAATGTGTTTTAAAGTGCTCTTATAGTTTGGACTCTTTCTATATTAAGAGCTGAGTATGTGGATTTTTTAAATTTATTTGCTTGTTTATTTTGCTGATTTTTATTGGAGAAAGCTTAATTTCTAGGATGTTAAGTTTTTGTTTTGGAATTAACCTGAGGCAATAAGGAGTATGTAATATGGTTTCTGCTAAGCTTTACTGCCTATATCATTAAAAAAGAAATCATCAAAATTTAAGACAGCTGACATAATATATTAAAGAGAAGAGGTGGTTCCTATTTTATAATACATCTTTTTCCCTCCTCCCTTCTTAACATCAGTTACTAGCTGTTATTAGTGATGGAATGCTAGCCAATTTTCTCCAAAAGATAATGGTAGTTTTTACCTTGCATCTTCTGGTCATAGAGGACTTTGAATTGTTCTTTCATGTTTTCATGAAGATAAGTATCATAGTGCTGTTTTGAGCATAAGAGACCAATTGCATACACACCTTTGAAAAAATAAGAACTTCATTTTGCAAGTTGTTAAGAATTTATGAATAATGGTTTAATTAAATATACACAAGGCTATTGGGATGGAATAATTGTTTAACTTGAAGCTGTAGAGGATGTTGGTTATGGCATTTCAGAAAATCTCTCTAAAATTTCAGTTATCCTTTCTCCTGACACTCTTTAGTTAATCATGACAGATATCGTATAAATATGTTCATATTTAAACACTGCCTTAAACTACACTAAGAAAATAAAAATCAAAATTATTTTTCTAGCTGGCTTGATATAGTTAGCTGCTTAGATTTTTTTTGTATGAGTAAATTTGTAAATTTCAAATAACCAAGATACTTGAAGATTTTGGTTGAAACTTGCAGAAATAACTAGTGGTTCTTGAATGTGTTAGTTTTTGGATGCTTCTTTTGACGTCTGTGTAGGTTTTTTTTTTTCTGTGTGTATGTGACGTATTTGCAGCCATTAGACACAGACCACAAAGTTATTTTCAAATCTTATATTCTCTCTTTAGATAGTGTCTGATATTATATTGAACTCTTAATTAAAACCTAAAAAAATACTTCATATTGTTAATTTAGGCTAATATCTTTTATTGTTAGAAATTTAAGTGTTATGGGGGAGAGTGAGGAGCTTGTTTCCCTTCTCCCTATTTGCTTCCTTTAACAATTCCTCAATCACAGTACAGAAAACTTTGGTAGTGCGGTTAAAAACCTTATTACATCCCACTGCAATTTCAAAGCTGTTAGGTGCTGGAGAAGTCGGTTATGTTGCTTGCAGGGCAAGCCTTAACTGTTTGGCCAGGATCATTGGCAAAAACTGCACATGCCTGAGGCCAGCAGGCAGCCAGGGTCGCAGTCTGCTGCAACAGGCTTTTGTGTGCGTCACAGCACCCTAAAGCCAGCGCCTTTTAGATGCTAATGTGATATAAGCCCCCTGTTTTGTACGAGAACTTGACTGCATCTCTGGAATGTGGCCTGTCTGGTTATACATTGGCTTCGCATTAGAAGGGCCTACTGTAATTCATGCCTGCCAGTCAATTAAAGCCAAAGCCGCGGAGACTTTTCTACTTTACAGCTTTGACTTGCCAAAGCAAATTGCTGGGGTTAGTGGTGAATTACGTACTGTTTTGGTTCTCCTAAGTCTTACCTACAAATTTGGTTGCTTTTTGTTTGCCATCTGTGATTATGGAATAAAGTAAATTTGAGATATTAAGTGATATGTGTCCTTTACGGAAAAAGAATTGAGCTCTTTTTTTATTTTTTCCTGTCCATGTTTGTTATGTGGTACAGTAGCTAAGTGTTCTATTTAGATGGTCCATTTTATGCCTTTCTTGTAAGGTGGGGTATATTTTTACAGCAGATAATGACCATTTGCTGCTGTTGGGCTGTATTCTGGTTCTAAAGAGTATTCTTTTCTGGTTCCTATATTAGAGATAGGGAATAAACGAATAACCAAGACATAACAGGAATGTGCTATATAAAATTTAGATGCTACTCCTTATACATAACTAGTGATTTGCTGAACACTGTGCAGAAAAGGTATTCTGAATAAAAGGATGTGTATATGATGCAAAAATGGATTTAAAAAATAGTCCTGATGACAAAATTTGTATAGTTCAGTTTGATTCTTGAACACATCACTGATTGGATTTGTGTATATTGCACTCCTTACATTTTCTCGGAAAATGAAACAATTTGCCATGTCAAAATATGTCCTTTAAGCTTATTCAAATGTGTTGAATCTGAAGTTGCATCTTAAGTTTCTTTAAGATTTCATCGCTGAGTTAAGTGAAATGTGCTTGGAGGGAGCACAGGAGAAGAAAGAGGTAAAGCTAACAAGATTCAGTTAGAAATTATTTTTACAGATAAAATGGAAGATATGCAAATAACTTATAAGCACTTAAGATCTTCTTTCTTTCACATCTTTCAGATGTTCACTGTCTGAAAAGAAGCCAAAAAAGGACATATGATGATTAGATTTGAAGGACCATGTGTTGTTGCTATAGAGCTAAATATTAAAATACAAGAAAGCAGACTTCCACATGGCACAATTGTTTTTTATGGCCGTTCATGTTACAATGCCTTTTTTTTTTTTTCTGTATTGCCTTTTAGGTTACCTAGGGTGAAACAAAATTACAGGATTGGAAACTCTGGAAAAGCTCAGCATCAGGATTTGAGGTAAAAATGAACATACTGAAGTAATCTTGGGAGTGTCCTTGTTAACTGTATGGAGCTGATTGGAGTAGAAATCTTCATCAAGATTCATTTTGCATTTAACTTTTCAGTTAAAAAAAAGACTTCGGAATCTTTTTAGGTCTGGAAAAACTCATACTGGGGTGAATATATTGTATAAATTTTGTTTCATGGGCTTTTGAGAAGATGTCTGTAATTTTGTTTCAAGATTTGTAGAGTTGCTGTTATGTTTTTATGAAATCCTGTGGCTGTAGTGAATGATGCTTTCCTAATTTGTCTAGTGTAGCTAAACGTGAAGTTAAGATGGCAATCTGTGTAAACATATAATATTTTTTATATTTGTAATATTTATGCATTAATGAACTTAATGTGTTTTTATGAGATGACTCTAAAATATTTTAAATTTGAAGCCATGATAGATTCAACTTCTTTAAAATTTTGTTTAAATCTTAAGTGAAATGAAAATACTTGTGAGTTTTGAAAACCATTACCATTGTACAGAACATAGTAAATCTATATAGATGATAGAATTATTGTTCGGATTTTGGGGAAGTATCTTTTCTATCAAATGTCAGTTTTTAAATTATTCTTTAAATTTTTATTTTACTACTGAACTAAAATAATTTCCATTCAAGATAGCCCTGAAAACCTCACTTTCCAAAGATGCACTTTGAGACAGCTAAAATGTTTAAGAGCAGTTGAATTTCCACAAATAACCTGATACTGTAGTTTTTAACAGTTCATTTTTAGTGTTCATATTGGTGATGTTGACTTGTGTTTTTCTTGTTTGTTTGCTTGTTTTTATCTTCTTTAAGAGCTGAAGCTTGCAAATTATGTGATTAGTCTACAAGCTGATATCATGATGTCAAAATGCAGTTCGGGAAATATAAACACAGAAGTTGCAGAAATTAAAACGGTAAGTCCATGCTTCAGAGCATGGCAGACTTTTTTTTTTTTTTTTAATTGCTTTACTGTAGTCTCCTATTTTATAGTTAAAGCATCTTTAGGTCTACATTTGGGAACCTAAGGTAAAATAACTTGTCTGTGAGGTTTGATCTACCTCAATTTGTTCGGGAAGAATAATGAAAATAGCTGTTTTACTGTTAAATAAATAGATAATAAGGGAATTGCAGAAATGGTAAATGTAATAAAGGGTATTAGTTGTGAAACGCATTTCCTTTGTATTTATTAGGAAACTGTATGTGATCAGAAATGCATTTTTTAATTTAAATGTTGTTTTGTTTTTAAGTAGTTCTTACATTTTTGATTCAAAGGTGCTTGTGTTGGTTAAATTGTATCAGAAATTTGTTTTAAGAAGGAAAAATAAGGAAAGAGAGGAGATGTGAAGGAGTGGAATTAGGATTTAACTCATGTCCCAGATAAAGGGAGGTACATAAAAGTAAATTACCCAAATGGGGAGAATATATCATTGTAACCAAGAGATCGCGGGGAGGAGGCTTGTTAGTTAAGGTGTTACTTTTAATAGTGCCATTCAATTTGAATTCTGCATCAAAAATAAAAACAGAAGAGTACATCCTATTGAAGCAGTGCAGAATAAATAACTGTGTATTTAGATGGTGTAATGAAGCATGTATCTAATTTCATTGCACCTCAAGTGACTGTCGTGTTTCATCTTTGATTCCATGCACGTCAGCTTTTATCTTGCCCTCCTTGGTAATAGGGGGGATAATAGAGGAGGAATCCTCATAGCAGCAATGCTGCACCCCTGTTTAATCAAGTACATAGTTAGACTTGTTGTAAAGATGCGTATTATGCACAAAGAAAAAGAAAGAAAAAGAAAAAGAGAAATGCAGTTTATTCCAGAATCTAGCTATGCGTTCCTGCCTGCTAAAGACGAAACATTCCCTTTTTGAGATTACTTTGCATTAAGTATTGCGACCAATATACAGGCGTGTTAAGACTAAAACATTTGTTACAGTATTTCTGTAGTGATAAATGCATGCTATTTTATGTATGCTAATGTATAGTGTTAATAGCTCATTTGCTTTAGGGAGTGGTGAAATGATAGCAGCATAATTTTTTTGGTGTATGCTGTGTCTCACCGGTTCTGTCTGATGAAACTAAATCAGCTACACTAGGACTTCTTAAAATAAAGAGTACATAGAACCTCAATGTAGTTTTTATTTTAATAAGTCCTTTAATAAAACTTAAAAAAAAATGTAATTTTTGACTCCTTTGGTGTGCTGCTAGAGACCTGTGTGCTAATTGTGCTTTTGGACTGTTTCTGTAAAATAAGCTTGCAGTGAATAGAATTCTTGTAGCTCAAGGTGAGCATTTGCAATGGAGATAGATAATTGCACGATATTGTTAGCGAAGGGTGCCCCGCAGACACAGGTTCTTAAAGGAGGTCTTATATGTGAGCAGCGTTAAGTGCTTGTGCTCTGTTTGCACTTCTTGAAAGGAAACAGATCTGAATCTTTGAATTTCATTTATTTAATATTGCAAGACCAAATATTAAAGTTCTGGTAGGTAATACATTTGATAAATGGCTTTAAAGGATAAGGGTAAAAAGTGTTTCATGTAGCCATGTTGTAAAAGATTTCTGATCAATCCTCTTTAGGTACAATTCTCTGACTGGATTTCCATACTCTTGACCTTCTGGTTAAAAAGGATATCTGTTACAACCCGTGAATTTTGATTCGGGAGCAAAAACGTCAACACTTAATTTTCAAAGTATGCTAGATATTGCCTACTAAAGGAATGGGGAAAAATAATTTTATTTCTGTAAAAATGAATGTTTTACTTGTTTCTGAGCCTTTTTTTTAACAAAAATGTTTTTCTTCTGTTTCTTCTGGTTTGTTCTTTGCTAGGACAACTAAAGATATAAAGGTTTACAAAATATTTTTTCTCTTCCCCACATCTGAAATTCACTTCTCTTTCTGATGCTGAAGTTGTTTACAGAGCATAAACTAAAAATTCCCAGACAAAGATAAACCTGCAGCATCAGGAATAATTTTTTTAGATCAGCGTTAGCAGCTTTATAGGTATTCGACAAATATAAATTAGTGTTGTTAATTGGAGGTAGTTACAGTTTTGATTACCATGAAATGATTATAATGCATCCTGCACATGGAAACTGTGCTTAAAAATTTGGTGTTTCTTTTCGTCTCTAATTCCTTCTCCATTTACTTTAGAGCATCATTTTCCAAGGGTTTTTAAGTCCTTGAAGGAGGACTAGATCCAGATATTCCTTTCTGTGCAAGTGCCCTGCTTGTTTTGGCTTGTATTCCTTAATGCATTCCTTAACGTAGTCTTTATCTTACGCAGTGAGGGACACGTTCTACTTTGGTATCATTATGTGATGGAAAGATCTACAAGAGTTTCAGATTTACTGTAAGCTGGAAGAAGCTGCTATCACATGCTGTTTATTTGCACCCTTGTGCCCTTCTGAAATATTTCTTTAAATGGTAAAACGAGTTAGTTTCAGACTAAGCTTGCAGCTCTCCGTCCACCTAGGCATGTTAGAGTAACAACATCAGATTATGTCCTTTGCTCTTAAATTCATGGTTTTTGAGCATAAAATTAAACAGTATTTTAGTAGGATGTGGTTGAGCACTGTTCTGTTTTCTGTAATAGTTATATAAGAATTGTTTCTTTGATTTAAAAAAAAAAGAAAAAAACCCTTAGCAGTTCTTCTATCAGTTTCCAAAATCATTCAGCAGATAATGAAACTCTTCAGCAGATATTTGTTCCTCACTGACTTAGCAAGGCCTTTTTCTGCTTCCCTTTTAACTAGTTTCATAGTTCAGTTGATTTCATAGAAATTGAACACAAGTATTTATATCTCAAATGTTTGCAATTTAAAACCTGTTTTTAAAGTGGATTTTCTTTTTATTTCTAGATTGTCCTGTACTGTTTTCCTTTTACTGAAAAAACTTGATATTTTTCCATGCTATTGAAATAGAGACTTGAAATGAAGCAATTACTTCATTATTGTGGCTTACTTTTGTAATAATAACGTTGACATTGGTCATGTCAGGTCTTATATGTATCTCCAATACAAACAAAGGCCAGGGCTAGGAAACTTCAGCACAGCAGAAGGCAGCACTAAGCATTTAGGGAGGTGTATTTTTGACCTAAGCCACCATACAGTGATGATACCCATGCTCTTTTGCAACTGTAACTACGTAATGCAGTGTCATATTGATTCATTTTGTGTATTTAGATTCTCTAAAAGACGTAAGTTCGAACAGTGGTTCCGTTTCCGAGCTAAAAAAAGTGAATGAGAAGCACTTGTAAGATTTGGAGGAGTTTGGAGATTCATTCAAAAGCAACGGAAAAATATTAGATGGTGAGGGGGAGGGCATCAAGTAGGGGGACAAACAAGGAAAATCAGGGAAACACAATTCGGAACATTCCTCAGTATCTCTGTGAAAATTCTCTGTGTCTGTCTTCAAAATAGAAATAATTATTTATAATGAGATGAAACATGGGTCCTTAACTGCACGGTCCATTGGGATTCCTCCATCCTTTAAAAAGCAAACAAACAAACAAGGTGAAATTTTATATCTCGTTACTTTCTGTAAAGTGATTCTGTATAAGCATTCTGTATAAAGCATTGCTTTCTGTAAAGTGACTCTGAATAAAAAGGAGGGATCAGGTAATTCCTTGTGTTGCATTCTGTATCTTTTACATTATGGACTTGAAGTGGAAAGCCAGTGAGAACTGACAGCTTTTGTCAAAGTTTCCCAAAATGGTTTAATATTAAATCAGTGTTCAGTCTTGGCCCAGTTACAGCATTTTAAAATAATATTTGTTTTTAATTGGGACTGATTTATTTGTAATCTCTTGCAACAGGTATTTCTTGTAGCCTTCAGTGTGTTTTCCACTAGATATTATATCGTGTTTGCCTCAATTTCAGTTTTTCTTTCCTGGTACACCATTGTAAAACCAATTACTTTCCTGAATAACATAATAGAATATACAGAATACTATTTAGCTTTCCTTATGTATTCTTTATGAATATTTAACTTTGAAATCATGGCAAGTTAATGCATTTCTTCTTCTGAGATTGATGTTAAAATGAATATAGAGCACATTTGAGAATTTTGAGGAAACTTAGCTAATAGAAATGTTAATTTGGCTAACTGTTGTCTGATTTGAAAAGAAGAAAAAGTAGTATTAGAAAGAATTCTCCGAGTTTGATGTATTGTATGTATATTTGATTTACTCCCATTTGTTTTATATGAGAGTGCTTGCGAGGTTAAAATTAAAAACTGCATATTAAGACAAGATTTAGCACTTGCAGGAAACAAAAATCAAGTAAAGTTCACTTATACATTAAGAAGAAAGCTTATTATATGATACTTTTATTTAATACTGTTTCTTTTCCTTCTCCTAGTAAGCTGTGCTGGAACAAAAATGCAATGAAAGAAACACTGGATGAATGAATGAAGAGCCCTGCTTTGCAATCCCTCAGCATGGCAGGACTGCAGCTCATGACCCCTGCTTCTTCCCCAATGGGTCCGTTTTTTGGACTGCCATGGCAACAAGAAGCAATTCATGATAACATTTACACGCCAAGAAAATATCAGGTACCAATGATGATACTGGTAATGCTTCAAAAACACAAATGGAAATTTGTCTTCAGAAGAAAGTTTTTCATGCTCAGGTGTAATTTTTATTAAGTACTTTCCAGTGTAGTGTTCCTACTTCAGTTATTAGATGTGTAGCAGTGCTGACCAACAGGGATCACAGCATGCTTCAAAACAGATTGTTTCTTCTCAAACAAATAAATCATCTATGAGGGAGAGCCTAGGGAGCAATGATTTGTATTAATTTCTATGAATACATGCCTTCAAGCAGGTTCTCTATATTTGAAACATATTTATTTTCAAATGCATCTTATCCAGTTATCCAGACTAACTATTGCTTTAAACTGTTTTAAGTTTTTCACCACCCTTTCATTAGTGCGAATCACAAAGATACCCAGTTTGAAGTAAATTTAAATTCTTCCCATTTTCTAGTGCATGCAGAGCATTAGAGTACTGTGAATAAATTTAGACGCCAGAAGACTCAGTTAACTTCTGGACTTAGAAGCAGGAAGCAGGATGGCTACTCCTGGCTCCCATGACTGCTATCTGATAGCTGCTACCAAGAGCAATGTTGGCCACGGAGTTCCTGTCACGGTTGTGTCCCCTTACTAGTGAGCACAGCATGGTGGGGCCAGGTCCTGCACAATTTTGTAGCAACAGCAGGCTGCTTCATGTAGGGAGGGGGAAGAACCTGGACAGCCAGAGAAGTGCAGATTGTGCACAGTATATACAAATCACTCTCACAGCTCCACCTGTTGGGTGATAGTTTTGTCTCTTCTTCCCCTTGCTTGGTTGCATTAAACTTTATTATTATCCACCATTCTTTTTTCACAGTCTGCTTTATGGAACTGAACAGAGTTTAGGTTACTGCTGTCTGCAAAAAGTTCTTGAGGACATATTTAGTAAACACTACTCTCTGTTCGTAGATTGTATTACATACAATCATGATATATCCTTCTCTGTCTGACCTTGTTGTGTACAGACTTTGTCTGTCTTTTAGTACATGTGTCGGTCAAAGCAGGTTAGTAATGTCAAACCTGGCAGGCCTATTTGATTTTTTTTGTTAAGGAAGATTTTTTTCTAAATTCTAGAATTTCACTTCTCTATCTCCCATAAAGGTGCCTGAAAGCTAGCAATGGGTGAGTCCCACCAGAAACATTAGACCACCTTGAGCTAATACATTATTTCTGCAAAATAAATAAGTAGTTCTTTGGATAATTTATATAGCTACATTAGTGTTAGAAAGATATAGTTAGAAAGTTATTTAAAATAGCAGCAAATTTAAATACCAGGGGAATTTAGCATTAAAACCAGACTACATATAATGTATTAATATTTTTAAATGACTGTGATAATACAGTGTTCATTCTACATGACTGGAAAGATCTCTGCAGATACTACTGAGTTGTCTAGAGCTGATGTAGCATTTCTGTGGTGTCTTTCTTTGGTCAGCTATTTTTACTCTACTGCTGCAAGTAATGAGATTGTTATTCTTAAACCTAGGTTGAACTGCTTGAAGCAGCTTTGGATCATAATACAATAGTCTGTTTAAACACTGGCTCAGGGAAGACTTTTATTGCAGTACTACTCACTAAAGAGCTGTCCTATCAGATCAGGGGAGATTTCAACAAAAATGGAAAGAGAACCGTGTTCTTGGTCAACTCAGGTAAGAGCAGAAAATGTACCAAGTTCCCAAACATATTAACACATCTTAATAGAATGCTCCTTAATACATGCTGTGTAAAAGTAATGTTAAGTGAAAATTCTGGATACACTACAAAAATGACAAGGACGATAAGCTGGATATAGAAAGCGATAAGTTTCTTTGCTTGCCTATAACCCATTTAATTAACTCGTTTTAAATTAAGTCATTAAATGAGGTGCCTTTTAGTCATAAATCTGTTTTCTTACTGTAGCTATACAAATATGCTTTATATCCCTCATTTAATACTATCATAGCCTAAAGGTCATATTGCAAAACACTATATTATGACATATATCTTAAATTAATGTTGAAGAGCTTTTGCCAGTTTTGTGATCAAAGGCATGCTTTTTCTTATTTTCTTCTTTTTTCTTTTTCTTAAACTTTAATTTAGCAAATCAAGTTGCTCAGCAAGTGTCAGCTGTCAGGACACATTCAGATCTTAAAGTGGGAGAGTATTCAAGTTTAGAGATAACTGAATCATGGACGAAAGAGAAATGGAGTCAGGAATTCTCTAAACATCAGGTACTATTCTAAGTATAAATCATGAATATAAGCTAAGGCTTGATCAGAAGTGATAATTCTTTACAATTTTAGCTAAACATTTCTCTTAACAGAATTTCAGTATAAACATCATGTTTTGCCTCAAAAATTCATATGCAAATACTTAAGGGGAATACACAGGTCATGCTTAAAAAGCTGCCTTTAATGCTGTTCGCCATCTCCCTGCCTTGTGGTTCCTGATGATTGCAGAAGGAATTTTCAGTGTGCATAGTGTATTTTAAAACCCATTATGTGATGTTTAATATTGGGTAATAAATAGCATATTGAATACTCAATAAAAGACTATGAAGTTGAATGCTGTCTGGGGAAGCAGTGTATTATCTCTTTGACATTCCTTTTATTTCTGCCTTTTTGGAAAAGCTATTTCTGTATAGTTCTCTTAATATGAAAAGTTATTTATTTTGAGAACAGGTTTTTCCTAAGTGATGTTTGTCCCTTTCTGTTGCAATCTTTTTCCAACATCTGCATAAGTATCTTGCACTAATATAGGTGTAGACTCTTAGTTCTTGGAAATTTGTAGGGTTTGCAGTGTTTTCCAGAAGCCCATAAATAAATCTCTGAACAATTCCATCAAGTGAAAAGGCTGTTATAATTATTGGAGTACAGTGCTTGCATAAAATAGTGGATAATCTTATCAGGAAACTCAACTTCATGTGCTAGAATCACATGCTGATCTTTTCATCTTTTAAATCATTAAGCTAAGGTATTAATAACGTAATTAATTCTGAAAAGAATTTTAGAAAGCCTGAACTGAGTGCTCTGAGATACCTGACAATAGCATGAAGATACACCAGCACTGAATTATCCAGTAGTTTTTTCTAGGACTAGGGCAGAATATTTATTCTCTAAATAAATCTTTTTGTTTTTCTAATCTTTTAAATTATTAAATCTTTTAAATTATTCTCTAAATAAATATTCTGCTTTTCCAAATGCTTTGGTTGAAGATGCTTCCACCAAAGCAAACTTTTTAAAAAGTTTATTTTAGATGAGACTTTATCATTATATCATTCATTTAGTCATTTTTCTTATCACTTCATCTTTAGATGTTAATTCAAAATTAGGGCCTGTTTGTCATGTTTGTATTTGCAGAGGACATCCCAGACAATGGATTGCGAAGTGAAAAGCCTGAGAAACAGGATGAGCTAGACTAATTTATGTGTAACTGCATTGAATAATATACCTTTCTGACTTACCTACCCAAAGCATTTCTGAAAAGATTAGCTGTGAAGTTGAAATGATGCTGTCTTTAAATAGTAGCCATTCTAACTTTCCACAAAAAGCTTTGCAGTCTTCTTAGAAGGTTGGATGCAGTTTTAAAAATGTGTAGGTTGTGTTCAGTAATTTTGCATTAAAGGATGTGCTTTCTAAAATTTTTGTTGTCATTAATCTCTGTTGTCTCTACCGCTTTTGCGTTTCACTTTTTTAACCGAATTTTAGAGTTACTTAGAGTTATATAACTGAATTTTAGAATTTTAGGTGGGGAAGACACTTAAACATAGGGCACATTTGTGATAATCACTAAGAAATGGACTCAAGAAGTGGCAGTCTTTTCCTGAATACTTTTTTTGTGGTAACACACTGCTTTTCTGCTGCAGCTGCAGAGGGTTTATGAGTTTATGAAGAATTTTCTTGCCAGAGACACAATAATGAAATTGTTGAGAGGGACGTTAACTGGTTTTGCATTCTATAAAATCTGTTCTGTGTAGTTTGGCTGGAGTCCAATATCATCTGTTTGTATTCATTTTTTTCTAAGCATATGACTGGAGGCAAGGTTTACTTTTGTTGTTCTTACCTTCAGCCAGATTACTTACTGAAGTGTGTGTAACCTTCAAGTACCAAATACGTTTTTCTCTTTCATTCAAAGGAGGCTGATGAATAGGAGGAATTGGTATCTGCTAGTGCTATTTAGCAAGACTTGCAGAAGAGCTTCCCTTCTTCGCATAGTCACCAAAGATGGCTCATGCGCATTATATATTGACTTTTCCTTTCATTTTTTATAGGTTCTAGTTATGACATGTCACGTTGCCCTGACTATTTTGAAAAATGAATATTTATCCCTGTCAAACATTAATCTTTTGGTGTTTGATGAGTGCCATCTTGCAATCCAGGACCACCCGTATCGTGAAATTATGAAGGTAGGTTTCCCCGGTGGGACTGCTGCAGCAACTGATTAAGGAGCATGACTGAGAAGAAAGGGGTGAATGAGTGAGCAATGAGGGGTGAAAGAATGAGGAGTGAATGAGTGAGCAGTGATTTAGCCAGCTCTGCTACTGAGAACAACGTACATGGAACTATATTTTAGCATGTTCTGATATTGAGAATTTACTGTAATTAATTCACATTTCAGACACATTGTGAGATAGGAAAACAGGGTTGTTATTAGATCTTTACAGTGGTAATTTATAGAAAAAAACTGATATAAACAGAAAAGAGAAGTCAAATTTAAGGACTTCAGGAGTTTTCAAAGTTTGTTGGTAAAAATATTTGAGAGACGGGTGGCGTTTGGGAATGGAATGTACTTTTTTTTTTTTTTTTTTCCAACTCTGTTTTCTAGATATGTTCGTGACATTGAAAGAAAGACCCAAGTTTGCTTCCTTGTCTAGAACCTGCTATTGAAGTAATAGTTTTCAACTCTAAGTGTCTAGGTTTGCTGGCTGGATGGTTACTATACTTTTAACTCTGTTGGCTACACAGATCTGTGAGGATTGTCCGTCATGTCCTCGAATCCTGGGGTTAACAGCTTCCATTTTAAATGGGAAATGTGATCCTGAATTGGAGGAGAAGAAACAGAAACTGGAGAAAATCTTGAAGAGCAATGCTGAAACTGCAACTGATTTGGTGGTCTTGGACAGGTGTGTTTTAGTATAATTTTGGTGATTAAATTGATACCTGTCTTTCATTATGGATAGATTAGAGAAAGAAATCACTAGAAATATTCCCTCGCCATTCTTACAAAAGTTCACATGTATGTGATGCTATCACCTCTACTGGCGGTGGGGAAGGAAGGCAAACTGTTGAAGTACTTTCTGAGTAACCAGTATTGAAGTTTAGCTTTCCATAAGGTTGTCAACATGAAGGCCACCTGGCACTGAAATCTTCAGAACTTTTACATAGTCTTAGCGGGGAGAGGTAGAGAGGGGAAAAAATTGGAAACTTGATATTCCACATCAGATTTTTGATCTTCTTGTAAGATTGACTGTCTTTATGTTTGAAGAGGAAACAGTACATTTCCAGTATATGCCGTAATCTTACTGTCTAATTTAGAAAAATCTTATAGGACATACAGCAAAAGATACTCATAATACCCTAAATCTTCTTTCTTTAATGAGTAGCCTGTGGTTTAGAAGCTAATGAAAAACATTGGAGAATGAGAGGAAGCAGCAAAAACAATGCCGAAATACCACAGCAAGCGGGCTTTTTTCCCTCCTATGTTATTACAGAATGTAGAATGCTGTGGATATTGTTAAAATTAGTACAAGCTGTGGTAATTGTGACGGTTTGCTATAGAGAAAAAATTAACATTGAGTGCTTAATGTTGCATGTTTTCTCACTCCAGCTAGATTGCCTGACACAATGATGCAAAGACGATTATTCTTGTTCTAGAGCAGTTTTTTAATTTTTTTTTCTGAATGTGTGGAAAACATTTTAAGAATTTCTCTCTTATAGCTCTGTCATTTAAGGAGAATCACTTGTGTATACGAAGGTGTTTATGTGTTTGCTATCTTCATTACATATACTTGGCATCTCAAGAGACCACATTTTGGAGAGCCATTTATTTCGCTTAGGAGGGGAAATGTACTTGAGTCTGCTTCTTATTGTCCTTACTATTTGCTGTAAAATAACAAGCCAAAAATAACTGGCTTTCAAAAGCTGTGTTTGACTTGATCTTTGCCCTCAATTAAGATATACTTCTCAGCCATGTGAGATTGTTGTAGACTGTGGACCATATACTGACAAAAGTGGGCTGTATGGAGGACTGTTAAAAGAATTGGATGAAGCACTTACTTTTCTGAATGACTGCAACATATCTGTAAATTCAAAAGAGAGAGATTCTACATTAATTTCTAAGCAGGTAAGCATTCAGCTGTATGTAAAACCTGGGGAATTGAAATCTTTGCCGTTGTTTTTCTCTGTGGTCTATGTTACGCTACTGAAACACTTTTTAAGCCAGCCAACCTGGAGAATGTGGGAGGAGAGAGCTTTAAAGTCGCTTTTGTTAACAGCACAGGAGTGTATAAAGTTCTAAGTTGTAATGGTATAGCAAAAAGCTCATCATCTTGCTTCATCAGCAACAAGTTCCCCAAGTCTACTGAATGACAAAAGCTGACTTCTAAAGATTTTTATGATAAATCAATCATGATGTTTGTGAAGATTGTGCTACGCAAAAAATAAAGTCTCAGTCTAAAACGGGTAGTTGAATACACTCTTTGAACTGATATTTGAAATCTTTTGTTGTAGATATTGTCAGACTGTCGAGCTGTATTGGTTGTTCTGGGACCCTGGTGTGCAGATAAGGTAGCTGGGATGATGGTGAGAGAGCTACAGAAGTATATCAAACACGAACAAGAGGAGCTGCACAGGAAATTTTTATTGTTTACAGACACTTTCCTAAGGAAAATACATGCACTCTGTGAAGAGCACTTCTCACCTGCCTCACTTGACCTGAAATTTGTAACCCCAAAAGTAATAAAGCTGCTTGAAATCTTGCGCAAATATAAACCGTATGAACGGCAGCAGTTTGAAAGTGTGGAATGGTATAACAATAGGAATCAGGATAATTATGTGTCTTGGAGTGATTCTGAAGATGATGATGAGGATGAAGAAATTGAGGAGAAAGAGAAGCCGGAGACTAATTTCCCATCTCCTTTTACTAATATTTTATGTGGAATTATTTTTGTGGAAAGACGATACACAGCAGTTGTCCTAAATAGGTAAATCTTCTTTGTTTAAACATTTCTTTTTTAAACACAGAGTCACAACGTGCATGTTCATGTGCAGGCTGCTGGCTACGGCTTTGTAGAGGATTGAGTTGTATATTTTAGAACTCTGTTTAAAAGTTAGTTTAGAAGGTCATAGTGCATCTGCATAAAGGAAGAATAATAAAAATTGAAACATTGACTATGTGAAGGGGTGCTTAGGTATTTTTAAAACTGTACTCAGTAGCTGGCTTTTGGACCTTGTGTTGTAATTTGATTTCTGTTCAAGGCAATATACAAAATGTACTTGAACTGTAGAGTGAACATATATTGATTTGTCGTATTCACCCTTTAAATTCATAGTTATTATGAATACTGGATTTTTTTAAGCTACTGAGTGCAATATTTTTGAATTTTTTATCCTTACCTTGCTAAATAAAATCATTTGACAATCAAAGTTTAAAGAAAGGCAAATTTATGTTGCACAAATACCTCCTTTTAAGATTTACTAGTCCTTTTTTAACAGGGGATATTTATGAAACACCTATTCAGTAAAACTTTGAGTAAAACATTAAGCACTTAGTCTCCACCAAGAAAAATACTATCCAAGGAATATATCCAAGATACACTTTGCAATACTTGCTTCCTTATTGAATTTTTCAATTTTTTTTCTACATTATAATTTGTGCTAGCTATATATACACACACACACACACCTTTTTTTAATTGTTAAATGCTATTTACCACAAACAAAAACATTTTTGATTTATTTACATATCTTTTCTTGGCTGGATAGTGTCCTAAATCATGTCCTGTGTGATTTGTTTACTGCACTCCAGGTAGTTCCTGCCCTCAGAGAGCCCTGAATCTGACCATTCTGTTGTTAGCTTTTGCCTGAACGAAGAGCTCCTTTGAGTCCATGCCATATTCTTTGGTCTTCAGAATTGACTTTTTTTTTTATGAACTTCATTTTTCTTTGTTTTATTTGCACTCTTGTAGTATATTTTTGTAAACATACTTTTATGGTGCAAATTAAACCTTTCAATGAAATGAACCTGTGATGATAACTTCCAAGAAATAATATTAATGAATTCTGATAAATTTTAACTGAGCAGAAATGAGTCTTTTGCCACCCTAGAGATCAAACAGAAATGTAAAGTTAAATTTTTTTTTTGCTTGTTAGTCATTTTTTTTTCTTTTTATTCTAACCCCTTTTTTTCTATTTATGTGCTTGAAAATTATGATTTATACCCAATGTTAATCATAACTGCGGTTGAACTTGACAGGGAATATTGTTTCTAACTAGAATAGATAACCAGTTGGTGCCATCCTTAAGTTCTAGGCACTGTGAAACAAGTTGCAGGCAGCAAAAAAATGAAACATTTTACCCTCTTCCAAAAGTTAGCTCTCCAGCAAATATGCAAAATACTGCTTTGCTTTAAGCAAACTTGGTGTCATGATACTCGGATGACCGTCAGACTGGTGCTGTTGGACACGGCTGAGACCTTCACTGCAGACCCTCCCTGTAGACTCATTTAAACTGAGGGATTTTAATTCTTGCCTGCAGCTATAGATGCTGAACCAGTGGAAAGGCTTCCCAAATAGGGAAGGCACAAGATGGGATGGAAAGAATACGTGAAAACTACTCAAGTTTTCATGTATAGCACAATCCAGCATGTGTCGAACTAAGTTAAAGCAGAGGTATCATGAGCCTCTTCATTATCTTTCTACTAATGATTAGATATCCTGCTTCATGAAGTCTGTAGTTTATGGTAGCTTAGAAGGGCAACATTTGTGTATGTTGGGCTATGTGGGAAAAATGGGTAGGAATTTCTTCTGAAGTAATTGGAGCCCCTGCACATGCAGTAGATGCTACAGATTAGCTGCTTAAAACTTCATCAAGTACCCAAATTGGAGTTGTGCGACTTGCCATGTGGAACAAGAAGATAAAAACTTAGGAATTTTGTTCAGTTGCAACCCATGCTTACTTAGTATGTGTTTCTAAATGCCTGGACTGCACAGAGAAATGTGAATCTGTTAAGCCTTTGAACTAAGAAATGTCATTTATTTTAATACAAGAGGATCCTTTCAGTCTGTTTTCCTAAAGCAGTATCTGCTACTACTTCCTCTTGCTGGTTCCCTGTGCCATTCCAGTTTCAACAGACTTCAAATGAAAGGATAGAAGTTTTAGGTGAATGTCCTTAAAATCAGTTGCCCAAGTGAAAAAGAGACTTCAGCAGTGTTCCCGCAGAGGAAGGGGAGAACTTGGCACTTGGCAGCAGCTCCCGTAGTGTTGTCGTCCTCTGCGCGGCCCAGCCTGGGGGCTGTCAGGGACAGGAGTCTGAGTTGCTGTTAGAGGTGTCTGGCGGCAGGTTGTCCTGGGGGTGTGAGGAGGACCTGGTGATAACGAGGTGACTGTGCCAAGGGCAAGCGGAAAAATGCTTTTGGGGTGACTGTGGGGATATGTGTAAGGGATGCAGGGTTTTGTGTGTTTTAATTTGGTCCCTCCCCGCCTCCTTGATTCTTACTGGCTCTACTGCTCTCATAAACTGTTATGGTTGAGAGATCCCAGATTCTGTCTATGCTGGAAACTGATCAGCTAAGGATGCTACAACACAAACAATTTGGTTGCATGAGGTAATCAGGCATTTATGGGTTTTAAAGCATAATTCTAGGTTCAGGGCTCTGATTATACAAGCAATCTTCTGGTTAGTCTGTGAATTCAAAGCATTGTAGGAGCATTTTCTGCTCCTACCACCTAAAGAAAAATGCAAGGGGATAGAGTTGAGAGCATGAATGATCCTAACCTCTGTTCACTGTTCCTTGATAAAAGACTTAGATTAAATCCACATGTTGTAGATATGTTTAGGTTAATTAAAAACATATCTTAAGTGGGCTGAGATCAGTTTTTAGAAAAAGATCAACAATGTTTGTCATTAACATACCTGAACAGAACGTGCATTTTAAGCTATTATTCTTAACCTAAAAATTTGAACACTTTATTTAACCCAACTTAATGCTTCGTACTGGAGAAGCATATATTTTGAGGACCCGGTTAAAAGATCTTCCTACTAAAGTAGCTCAGATGACACCTACTGAAAATGATGTTAACTTACCTATGTCTTGAATAGGGTGTTGAGTAGCTGGAAACCTCAAAGTAATGTCTTGGTTTAAAAATGTTTTTGCTTTTAACAATATCTTTTTCCATGCTAAGTCTAAAGTGTTTGTGATGCCTGCACACATATCACATACAAATGCATTCTATTTTTTATTATTTTACCCATGTTTTCACTAGAAAGTAGTGTTTTTAGCAAGCACAAAAAAGTTTATTTATACTTACTATTTATTGACAAAATATTTAATTGCTATGCTTCCTTTTTTGTTATTTTTTTTTTACTTTATGTCTTAGAAGGAAAAGAATATTTTTCATTTTCTGTGTTGTGTGACTTATAAAATACTTTTAGGTTGATAAAAGAAGCTGGCAAACAAGATCCAGAACTGGCTTATATCAGCAGCAATTTTATAACTGGACATGGCATTGGCAAGAATCAGCCTCGTAACAAGCAGATGGAAGTAGAATTCAGAAAACAGGAAGAGGTAACTTCAGTAAAAAATAATTGAAGTTGGCATTACCTGCAAAACATTGCTCTACCAGCAAATTCTGGCACAGTCATTGGAAGCTCGGGGAGTACCCTTGGTGTAACAAACGTGCATACTTAAGATACAGATGTCTTGGATAAAATAACAGATGGTTAGAGAAGCTACTGTCACATTGCACTAATAGATAGAAATGAAACTGCTTGTGAAATAGTGCTTGTCTTCTCAGATCATCAACTGTGTAATTTTTTTTTCTGCATTGGATTAACAGTGATACAGTAATACTGTATGGAAAATCATATGCTTCTATAAGAGCATATTTAGGCAAGTTTATAGAATGTCTGAACTGTTTCTCTGTCTTACTAGCTGTTAATCAACTGCATGATGCAAAGAGGTGCCAGATTCATCTCTCAATTACTTTTGCAGATCAATCTCTCAATTACTTTTGCAGGTTCTTAGAAAATTTCGAGCACATGAGACCAACTTACTTATTGCTACTAGCATTGTAGAAGAGGGTGTTGACATACCAAAATGCAACTTGGTGGTGCGTTTTGATTTGCCCACAGAATACCGTTCCTATGTGCAGTCAAAAGGAAGAGCTAGAGCACCAATTTCCAATTATATCATGTTAGCAGACACTGACAAAATCAAAAGCTTTGAGGAAGATCTCAAGACATACAAAGCAATCGAGAAGGTATGAAGCTCAAGTAATGTGCCTGTTTATATCTTATAGTAGTTTTTTTGTTTTATAAGAAGAAAAAAAACCCTTTCATGTTCTTTTCTTAAAATGTTAAGATCCTGAGAAACAAATGCTCAAAATCTGTTGATACCAGCGAAACTGAAACCGAACCCATCATTGATGATGATGATGTATTTCCACCCTATGTTTTGAGGCCAGATGAGAACAGTCCAAGAGTTACAATTAACACTGCTATTGGACACATAAATAGGTAGGAGACATGTTCACATTTTCCTTCTACTTCTTGCTTTTGAATAAAAAGTTTCTCAGTCTGTCATGACATGCTAGCCGTAGATTGGGTACTTTATATATTTGCCCTTTCAAGTCTTGGCAGAATTTTCTGTCCCCAAGAGAACTGTCACAAGGATTTGAAAAGAATAGTTTGTATTGCGTGGCTTTATTCTTCAAAGGTTCTAGTTCTCATGATAAACTTAGTGGTGCGGATACCTGTTTAATAGAAAACTGTCCTGAAAACATTTAACTTCAAAACAAGTAGCAAGATTGTTGCTCTTGCCAACTTAATTTAAAAACAAAAAGTTACACAAAATGAAGGTCTCCAGTTCCAATATTCACATTTGTAATAGCAACTCGTTGTTTTGTTTAAAAACAAAACAAAAATACAAATAAACTGAACATATTCAAGTTCATGAGACTGGATGGGATGCTTCTGAGCAGACTGACCGATGTCATCTTTGCAACGTCATGGCGTTTGGAGGTCCTGAGTGATAAGAGAAGGTAAATGCCTTCAAAAAAAAAGAAAAGGAAAAGGATCCAAGGAGCTACAAAGCAGTCAACTTTATCTCGTTCCCTCGGAGTGTTATGGACCAAGGCTCATGGAAACTATTTCCAGGCACATAAAGGGCAAGAAGGTGTTTGCAAGCAACCAGCCCTTTTATTATAGGCAATTTTTGCCAGACCAACCCAATTGCTTCCTGCGGTAAAGTGCTTCATTCTGTGAACAGGGGAAAAGCAATGAATATCCTTTACTTGACTTTACGGGTTTTGATGACATCTCCTGTAACACCTTCATAGCCAAGGGGATGGGATGCAGACTAGCTGGATGAACTACATGGTAAATAAAACCTGGCAGTCTGTTGGACTTAAAAGGTGTAATGATAAACTACGGAAAGTCTAGCTGGCAGCTGGATATGAGCAGCATTCCTTGCAGGCCGGTAGAATTTAACTTTATCATCAGTGATCTGCATAGTAGCAGAGAACATATCCTCAGCAAATTTGGCTCTGACACAAACTTAACTGGGGGAGCAGTTGCTACGATGGAGGGCCAGGCCGCCCCTGAGAGGGGAGCCATGTCAAACTGAAGAAATGGGTCAGCAGTAGGGTCTGTCGCTTCAATGGAATAGTCCTGTGCATCACTACAGGCTTGGAAGCAGAGACTGCTAGAGACTGACTTTGTAGGAAAAGACTTGGAGGCCTCCTCACTGAAGACGAGTCAGCAGCGTAGTCGGGCACTAAGGAAGAAAATGTCTGTACTCTTGATAATTTAGGATAGGCACATGTTGAAAATTATTCTTCACTCAGGACTCATAATGCTGCATCTGGCTCATACAAGTTTAGGGCTCTGTCAGGACAAAAGGAGTACTGAGAAACTGGAAGTAGTCCAGCTGAGGGTCACAAAAAGGGCTAGAAGGCTAGAGCACATGATGTATGAAGAGTACCAAGGGACCTGGTTTGTTCAGTGTGGAGAAGAGATAGCTAAGGGTGCTATAATTGCTGCCTTAAGCTACAGAGAACAAAGTCAGAAGCTTTGCACAGTGAAAAGGACAGGAGACAACAGATGCAAGTTGCAGCTAGGGCCATTCCAGTCAGTACATGTTACTCATAATTAATGAGTAGTTGCACCCTGAAACAGGTTCCCTGGAACCTCTATCCTCAACAATATGTACAACTTGATTGGGCAGAGCCTTGAGCAGCCTCGTTTGAAGTTAGCCCTGCTTTGAGTAGCAGATTGGACTCCCAGAGTCCATTCCAATTAAATTATTCCATGATTGTAATTATTCTGCTTTATTAAATAGTAATTTTTGGAAACTGAAGCCCAAAGTAGCCTGTAGTTTCACAACAGTAAGACAAAATTCTCCGTATAATATCTTCAGGTTTCAACATGAAAGTATTGATTTGAAAATTCTTTTGTTGATTTAGGTACTGCGCTAGATTACCAAGCGATCCATTTACTCACCTAGCTCCCAAGTGCAAAACACGAGAACTACCTGATCATACCTTCTACTCTACTCTCTACCTGCCGATCAACTCACCTCTTCGAGCCTCAATTGTTGTAGGTATTTGGAGAAGGAAAAGCATGGAAATAAGTGAATATATTTGTACAGATGCACACTCTTTTTTTTTTTTAAGAACTACTTTTTCTTCTGTGCTGCTAATGAAAATTAATTTCTGTTTTCCTGCGTTGATCTCTGTAACTGTTTTCAGATTATTGTTTCTCTATTGTAATCTGCTTTCCAACAGTTACTGTTTATTCTGAAAGCATAAATAGTTAGATTTCTTGCCCAGTTATGAGCTGTAAGAATGTGCTTTATTGTTCCGTGGTCAATATTATGCTGAGTTCAAAAACTTGTAGTTGCAGTTTCCACAGAAAAATGTTAGAGTATCTTTGTAAAACGTTATATGGACAGTTTTGTTTATATAATATGTATGTTGAACTATTTGTGTAGTGTATAGTAACTAATATACTCTTCAACCAAAACTTTAAACCATGTTTAAATGTTTATAGGGTCCTCCAATGAGTTGTGCAAGACTGGCTGAGAGAGTTGTGGCTCTTATTTGCTGTGAAAAACTGCACAAAATTGGTAAGAATTTGAAGAGCAAGATTTCTTTGGTCAAGAACTGTTTGTAATTGAGAAACTGAATACTGTATGGAAGCTAGCGAAATATATTTCTATTTTAGCTATTATAAATTCCTAGTATCCTTTTCTTTTTCACCGCGTTTTGTTATGTGATCATGTAATAAATTTAACTAGCTTGCTGGTGAAATATTTTTATTGAATGTACTTTGCCTTAAACAGAGAATGGAGCTGCATTTGAAAACAAATTTTGATGTTGAACATACATAGTATAAAGAAGAAAAAGATCTTTTTCACCGGAGGGTCATGGCTTTAGATTAGGAAATACATATTGCAGCTAGAAAAAAAAAAGTTTGAAGTGACTTGTGCCAAACAAACTCTGTAATACAGAGCCCAAAGTTTAGTATGTTCTCTATATAATCATTAGTTGTGGTATAGAAATTGAACACTTCAGAATTATTTCAGCTGTCTTGTCTCTAATAAAAATACTAGAGGTAATTTCAACTCCGGAAGTGTGGGATAGATGAGTGGACAGTGAGGTGGATTAGGAACTGGCTGGATGGCAGGGCCCAGAGAGTGGTGATCAGCAGTGCAGAGTCTAGTTGGAGGCCTGTAGCTAGCAGGGTCCCCCAGGGGTCAGTCCTTGGTCTAGTCCTGTTCAATTTATTCATCAATGACCTGGATGAAGGCACAGAGTGCTCCCTCAGCAAGTTTGCTGATGACACAAAACTGGGAGGAGTAGCTGATACCCCAGAGGGCTGCGCTGCCATCCAGAGGGACCTGGACAGACTGGACACCTAGGTGGTGAAAAATGTCATGCAATTCAACAAGGCCAAGTGCAAGGTCCTGCACCTGGGAAGGAATAACCCCAGACACCAGTACAGGCTGGGGACTGACCTTCTGGAGAGCAGCTCTGCAGAGAAAGACCTGGGCGTCATGGTGGACGACAAGTTGACCATGAGGCAGCAGTGTGCCCTCGGGCTCCACAGTACAAGAGGGATGTGGAGCTGCTGGAGAGAGTCCAGTGCAGGGCTACAAGGATGATCAGGGGCCTGGAACATCTGCCCTATGAGGAGCGGCTGAGGGAGCTGGGCCTGTTCCGCCTGGAGAAGAGAAGGCTGAGAGGGGATCTAATCAGTGTCTATACATACCTCAAGGGAGGGAGTGCAGAGGATGGGGATGGTCTCTTTTCAGTGGTGGGCACTGATAGGACTAGAGGAAATGGCCGGACACTGAAACATCAAAAATTCCATAGGAACTTAAGGAGAAATTTCTTCCCAGTGAGGGTGACAGAGCACTGGAACAGGCTGCCCAGAGAGGTTGTGGAGTCTCCTTCTCTGGAGATCTTCAAAACCCGCTTGGATGCAGTCCTGTGCCACGTGCTCTAGGTGACCCTGCGTGTGCAGGGGGGTTGGACTAGATGACCTCTAGAGGTCCCTTCCAACCCTAAGCATTCTATGATTCTAATCTTTACTGTAGATTATTTTTAAGAATATCCCATATTATTATGGATTCTTTGAAGCAATACAAAAACATTTATATTTCTTTAAACAACAACAGAGACTTGCTGATGAGTTAAGCCTTTGGATCATTGGATTCATACCAAAATAGGAATATCTGAGAATAATCCTGTAGTGTCTTAACTCAGGGTTCAGAGTGCACATTCAGCAATAGCATTGCCTTTTCTAGAATAATACCAAAAAAAAAAAAAAGTTTTCCTTTTATTGCAGTAACTGTGCGAGTATTTTGGTTGTTGGTTAGTTTTTCTTGGTTGATTTTTCTTTGATATTTTCATTGTATAGTTCAAATTTTAATTGAAACTTATAAGAGAATTCTTCCATAAAAATGATTTTACTGAACATAAATTCAGAATTTAGAAGAAGAAGAATAAAAAAGGCTAAAGCAATCTATTGCAACTCTTATTTACAAAACCTCGCTACTGTTAGCATATTTTAAAAAATAGTTGTTTTCCTGAACTATTATATTTGCTGTGTAGTCTTTGAAGGGACCAGGATTTCATTGTTCATTATGTTATTTCTGTTTACTCTTTTACTCAGGTGAACTGGATGATCATTTGATGCCAGTTGGGAAAGAAACGGTTAAGTATGAGGAAGAGCTTGATTTACATGATGAAGAGGAAACCAGTGTTCCAGGAAGGCCAGGCTCTACAAAACGAAGACAGTGCTATCCTAAAGCTGTTAGTATCACTTAGTGTTCTCCACCTCTCCAGTCTAATACTTTATGTAATAACAAGACCACAAAATTGCCAACTCTGTCTTATGTGATGTGTAATCCTTAAGATGAATTTTGCATTTATAGTGAAATATTTGTATTGTTAGCTATATGGACGCTTGCACTGTTTTCCTGAATGGGTTTATGAGAGCATGTTTTCCTAAGACCCATAGTTCAAAGAAATGGTTGGCTCTTTTTAAGAGCATGAGCAAGTGTCAGAGTGAGAAGTTGTGTAGACCTGCAAGGTGAAACTAACTTTGAAATAAAAAAAAAGGATGCTTTTGGGAAAGCTCGTTGACTCTATTTTCCTAGTTTTCCTTCTCCCAGCTGTACCAGCAAAAATAAGGTCTTGCATTAATAATCTATTAAGAATTTCACCTGTCTGGTGTGTGTATATATATACTAGGATAAAGAAAAAATAGCCTTCTAGAGAAAGAAGTTATAAGTTTGGTGGACAAGTTTCAAGTTATTTGTCATAGTGTCAGTGCAGAATTTGCCCTCATTTTTTGTTTTAGATAGTTGGTTTAGTTTGATCACTGTAGTGATCAAATTAGTTTTTGACCTTTCTTGGTGCTTCTTGTCAGCAGCTGGAGATTTTTGGAATGGGGTCCTCTCACAATGTTGCAGTATTTGTGCTTCAGAGGAGTAGATTTGTCAAGTGATGATACATCATTCTCTTTCAGTTTATTTTTCCACAGGAGCCAAGAATTATTTGTGCTTGTTTTTTGTCCCAGCTTCTTGCCTCTGAAAAAGGCAAAAGGCAATTGGCAAATGTTTAGCATCTACAGGATCTTCTTGAGCTTAATATAGTTATTAAACTAAGGGTATTTTTCCATTAAGCCAGGGCCACACTTTTGCTACAGTATAACTCTGAAATCCAGGGCCGTATGTACTTCAGGTTATTTTCAGATCAACAGAAGAATCATTTTCAAGACCTAATGAACTTCTTACCCAAAAGAAAATGCAGTTTCATAAGAACTGTGTGTTTTAGGGAGGGATTGGGGGAGGGGAGCTATTTTTTCCTCTTTGTGTTATTATTTATTTGTTTATGATGAATGATTTCATCCACCCTTTTCACTGAGGTTTAAAGAGCTTGAAAGGAATGATTCAGAGTTACTGGCATACTCACAAAATGTGAAAATGAAAAGCATCAAAATTTGAGCTTTATTGATGGCGAGGTTACGTATGTCTGCTGTTAGACTTGAGTTTTTAACACCGCATGGATGACATGGTGAAAGTTGGCTCTGCAGACAGCAAGTTCAGGAAGCACCGTGTTCCCTTTAATGCTAGTGTTCAGTGAGATCTCACTGTGCCCAAGCCAGTGGGACTGACCAAATATTTTTACTGAATTCTCTATTAACTTTCCTATTGCTCTTCCTTCCCCTCTCCCCCAGTAGCATCTTTCCTTTAAGAAGGCTTGTTCAATAGTATTTAGGTAAACTTTGCTGATAAAAATGTGTGTGTTTTTTTTGTTTGCTTGTTTGTTTTTTGTTTTTTTTTCTTCAATTCTAGATTCCAGAATGTTTGAGGGATAGTTATCCCAAACCTGATCAACCTTGTTACCTGTATGTAATAGGAATGGTGTTAACTACTCCTTTACCTGATGAGCTCAACTTCAGGAGGCGAAAGCTGTACCCTCCAGAAGATACAACAAGATGTTTTGGAATACTGACAGCCAAACCTATACCTCAGGTGATGAGTCTAGTTCCTTCCCTTATTCCACATGCCTTGCAACCTGTAATTCTTTCTGCTCCCTCTCCCATTACTCTGCTACCCCAGACTGAAGGGTTATAATGACTACATTAGAATATTAAGTACCCTCCATAAAATGGGTAAAAGTATCAAATATGATCACAGTTTTATGTCTTTAGTGATAGAACAAGTTATTCTGTTTCTACAGAGCTCTTTTTAATTTTATTTTATACAGTGACAAATTCAAAATTCCTTTTTTGTGAAAGGTATAATAGGAGTGGGGTTTCAACTGCAAAGCCTGCCTACAGTGATAAGTTCTTTCAGCACTCCTGCAGAAGCAAGCAAAGTAGGCCATTTTAGTGAAAACTGACACAAAACCTAAAAGGAAGTCACCTCTGAGAGGGGCTCAATGTGATCAAAGTGTAAATGAAATATTTTTTTTAATGTGCTCTTATTTGAAGTGATTTGATCTTGATTTTTAAATCATTTGTGCCGAGGGTAATGAATTCCTAATTGATTCATTACAAGGAAGCTATGCTGTGGACCTGTCCACAGCACTGAATTCCAAGCACGTGGTTGATGTGGCAGTTCTTATCTTAAAGATAAGAAGCTTTTAGAGGAAGCTTGAGAGAAATGAGTACCAAAAACGATCTCAGCTGCCAAAACCAGCACACTCCCATTAGCTCTTCCTAGCATCAGAAGTCTCTGGGAAACTTTAATAGGCTGGTACATGGGAAAATTTGCGAGTTCCATTTTGAAAGAGGTCTTAAGAATGTTTGTTTTTTAAGGTCATGCCTTAGCCAAAGGGGAAGAACCACCAGACTTCAGAACTGTCACAGAGAAGAAGTGGGAATTCTATACCTGCCCTTAGATATTTTGGAAAGTTTTTTTCTTTTTTTTCTTTTTTTTTTTCCCTGTAGGTGAGGCTCAGCTAAGAAGGACAATATTTCAAAGTAAATTTTCTATTGTCTGCAAAAGAAAATGCTTCAAGAATATTGTTCCTCAGGACCATTTGGATAGCAGAATGACAGTATTGGTCTTTGCATGCTTAGTTTTTCATTTACAGTATCTGAACTAAACTCTTGGGAAAGTAGAACTAAACACTAGCCTAAGCTTGGGAATCCAATTCCTAAGTTTTCTCTCATGATTTTTGTGTGTGTGGTTGTGTGTTTTTTCCTCTTTAGATTCCTCACTTTCCTGTGTATACTCGCTCTGGAGAGGTTACAATATCTATTGAGCTAAAGAAATCTGGTTTTACTTTGTCTCTGCAAATGCTTGAGTTGATAACACGGCTCCACCAGTACATTTTTTCACATATTCTTCGTCTTGAGAAACCTGCACTAGAGTTTAAACCCACAGAAGCTGATTCAGCCTATTGTGTTCTACCTCTTAATGTTGGTAAGAACAGTTTTTCTTATTTACTCTGAGTTTCCTTAGCTTAACATGCTTATGTTAGATTTCAGATACTAGCTGTAAAGATGATACTGCGTGTGGCAGGATTCACTAGCTATAATTTATATTTTCGTATTTCAAATTAGTTTTAATTACTGTTACAAGCTGGTTTGTAGTAGTTTTCGCTGACTAAACAAGAATCCAAAATCATAAATATGTGGGCAAAATTTCTTCTGACGCTTTTGAGGGATGGATGAAACAAGTGAAATGAAAGCAATTGAATATGCATACAGAATAAGAAAAAAAATAATTCACAAATTTCCAGAAAACTTCTTCCTAGAAAACACTTTCCTGACTAACCAAATTATGCACTTCCTTTTTAAGTTGATGACTCCAGCACTTTGGACATTGACTTTAAGTTTATGGAAGACATTGAAAAATCCGAAGCGCGTACAGGCATTCCCAGCACACAGTATACAAAAGAAATGCCTTTTATTTTCAAATTAGAAGATTACCAGGATGCAGTTATCATTCCAAGGTGAGTACTGCATATAGTGTGACCTTAAGTATGTACAAGTTATATTTATATAAGTGCTCTCATAATGGGATGTTAGTGTTCACAACAAGATTTGCTTGAAAGAAGATTCTTAAATTAGATAGGGCACCAATGAATATTAGATATTATATTAGATAAGGCACCAATATTTCTTCATATTGGTAGCGGGTTTTGTTTTGTTTTTGCTTTTTTGTTCTTAACAGTAGATGTATTTTCATACAGTGGGTCTTAGCCAAACTCTGTACGCCTCACAAGACTCCTTGCCTTTCCTCTTTTAGGAGCGGGGTACACGTTTAGAGTACACATACTTGCACAGAGTACACAGTATTCTGATTAAAAAGTTGTGTGACTTCATCACTACCAACTGGCTTGCTGAAACTAATTTTAACTTGAGAGGTTGAGTAGATGTCCTGTTCTCTGGTTACAGCTTATTCACAGCAAAGACTTGCCAAAGGAAGCATGCTATTCGTTGGCTGGAAAAAATAACAAGTAGGGAAGATCATTTAAGACTGACAGAATCTTTCTGTTGAATGATATTTACAAAGAAAACTTTATGTAGAAGAGAACTCAGATCTCATAAGTATTTAGTGTATCAGTCAACAAATTACACCTACAAAATACTTAAGAGATTTCAGTCTTGCTACAGATACTCTGACATCTCCATATATTTTGTTACTACATGTTTGTGACTGTTCTAGTGCTTCGAATTAACAGTTAATAGTTTAACCAGCAAACTAGTCAGCTTTAAGGGCGAGCGAAGGGGACCTTCATCAGAGCCACCATCTTTAGCAGAAGACGCACACAATTAATGCAATGCAAACTTTGTACAGAGAAGCAAATAGCAATAGGTCTTTGTATTTATGTGATGAGGGTACCTGGAAAATCAGGTATGGAAGGGCTCTTTTAAAAAGTCTGAACTTCTAATGTTAGGTTCTCTGCTATCCTGTAATTTAGTTTTGCATCAAACTTTTATCAGGCTGCATTTTTTTATGATTATTTCCCAATCTCTCTTTTTTTGCTGTTCATCATATTTTTCATTGTAGTACCCAATTAGCATCACCAACAGCCATAAAGGTGTTGTAGCAATTAGCCTTTACCTCCCCCCGCCACACACCTTTCCAAGTTTTGCATCCTAAAGAACTACCCTGCTTTAGCCTCCTTATAAGTCTTGTAAATTTACGTAGTAAGGAATTCGAGGCTTTCTGTTTTAAGTTTATTTGGAGGGTGACCTAGCTGAAAACACCAGTTTAGGTGTGAGGTTGTACAGTTTTAGTGTAAGGTAGAACTCTATTTCTGCCAATTCTAGTGCTTGAGAAGGTCAGACTTTAACTGTTAGAAATTTAGAGTTAATAAACTATCACTTGCAGCATTACCCTGAGTAATGCTCAGAGTAATGAGGAGGTTGTCCAGAGCTTGATTATATATTGGATTTTGAAAATATGAGTCTTCCATTTTATTTAAATATCTCAGCACAGTAAACTGCATAGAGTATAGATTGACTTTCTACTTCCTTGTTTTACAACATGAATTTCACTTAGTATCTGATTTTGCTAAACAAATTCTAAAAAAATCAGTGAATTATTTAGTGGTTTAGCACCTTGACTACATTGACTGCGCTGCAGCAATATGATAGTGATTTTGCTCTAAGGATATAACATATGCTATTTTTGTTTAGATATCGAAATTTCGATCAGCCTCATCGATTCTATGTAGCTGATGTATACACTGATCTTACTCCACTCAGTAAATTCCCTTCTCCTGAATATGAAACTTTTGCTGAATATTATAAAACAAAGTATAATCTTGACCTGACCAATCTCAACCAGCCACTGCTGGATGTGGACCACACATCTTCAAGGTAACAATGTCTCTTGATGTTTGTAGTTTGACAAGAAACAACAGTTTTATTTGTTTTGGTATAATGTGATAAAGCTGGAGACTTAGATTTTCTGAAATAATTACTGATTTTTAGAGGAGGTCCTTAGCATGTGTCTTTTTCCAGAAGTAGCTAGTCTGTCACTTTATAGTGTGTTAAGGATGAGTGCTCATAATGAATTGTCACTTCAGAAAGTTTAGGCTACTCATAACTTTTTATACATTTATGTTAAAATACTTTTACTTACTTTAGTTTACTTGACTTTACTTCCTAGACTTAATCTTTTGACTCCTCGCCATTTGAACCAGAAGGGTAAGGCACTTCCACTAAGCAGTGCTGAGAAGAGAAAAGCAAAGTGGGAAAGTCTGCAGAATAAGCAGGTAAAATAAAGTACTTAATTCAACTTGTTTCTCTCTAAGAGTTTTATGAAGTCTACCTTCAATAGTAAAATTCTGTTCTCACCCTTTCCCAACCCCACCCCAGATACTGGTTCCAGAGCTCTGTGCTATTCATCCTATTCCAGCATCACTGTGGAGAAAAGCAGTTTGCCTCCCCAGCATCCTTTATCGTCTGCACTGCCTGTTGACAGCAGAGGAACTAAGGGCTCAAACAGCCACTGATGCTGGTGTGGGGGTTAAATCACTTCCTGCAGATTTCAGGTATATATTTTTATACCACTTTTGCATGAGTTTTGAATTGATAACATTTGTTTGACTCATGTCAGCTCTCAGCAAAGGATATGGTTAGAAAAGATCGTGAATAATAAGGTTATTCAGTTATCTATGAAGATGCTGCAGTCTCTACTTTTCAGAACTTTTTTTATCATATATATGCATAAGAGTTTTCTTCTGTGGTCATATTTTCTTTTAACAAAATCAGCATATATCTTTACAGATATCCTAACCTGGACTTTGGATGGAAAAAATCTATTGACAGCAAATCCTTCATCTCTATTCCGAACTCCTCTTTGGTAGAGAATGAAAATTACTGTAAGCACAGCCCAATTGTAGTCCCTGAAAATGCTGCACATCAAGGTGCTAACAGAACCTCTTCTACAGAAAAGCATGACCAAATGTCTGTGAATTACAGAACATTGCTCAATGAGTCACCCGGTAAACTCCAAATTGATGTCTCAGCAGAACTTGCAGCAATTAATGGTGTTTCTTATAACAAAAACCTTGCCAATGGCAATTGTGATTTAGTTAACAGTGACTTTTGCCAAGGAAATCAGCTGAATTACTGCAGGCAGGAAATACCTGTACAACCAACTACCTCATGTCCCATTCAGAATTTATACAGCAGTGAGAACCAGCCCAAGCCCAGCAATGAATGTACTCTACTGAGTAATAAATACCTTGATGGAAATGCTAACAGATCTACCTCAGATGGATGCCCCAAAACGGCAGTGACCACCAGTACTTCAAAAGCTCTTAATCTTTCAATAGACAGAGTGGATTTTGAAAAGAGCCCTTCCAGCGGGTACTCCTCAAAAACTCTTGGCCCCAATCCTGGTCTCATTCTTCAAGCTTTGACTCTTTCAAATGCTAGTGATGGTTTTAATCTGGAGCGGCTTGAAATGCTTGGCGATTCATTTTTAAAGCATGCCATCACTACATACTTGTTTTGCACTTACCCTGATGCTCATGAGGGACGGCTGTCATATATGAGAAGCAAAAAGGTAAGTAATAATGATCCGATGATACTGGGTAAAATGCTGACTGTCACAAACTATGTATAAAAAAGTATACATGATGATTGATGGCTGAACGACCCCAAGGTGATCTAGGTCCACAGCTTTACGGATTATACATTTGGTATCATACATATTAGGGGCAAAAAAACAGGATGACAGAGTTAGTGTTATATAAACTGTCATCGATGAAACTGTTTTTTGCCTCTCATTTCTAAATCTAAACCAGCTGATTATCTGCCTAAAGAGAGACAGGACTAAAGAGAACCAGAAGCTCTGGGTTAGTGAGGACGTTTGGTAGACTGTTAGAGCTGCGTTGGCTAGAAAGTCTTTACACAGGAGACCTTGAATGAGGAATTGAGGGTTAGCTGCACAGAGCCCTAGGCTTACAGTAGCTTTACTGACCTTTCAGTTGTTTCCTTAATAACTCTTCATGAAAGCTTTTGCATCATCCTAAAGGAACATTTACAAAGAAAATGTACTTTCAAAATTGCTATATCAAAAATTATTTAATTTAATTATTTAATGTAAACATAAATAGTAGGGAGCACAGCCTCTTCTTCAGCTGTTTTTTAAAGTTCTGGACTAATCAATCATATGAAAGTTTTATTCCTCATAAGGTAATGACTTGAATTAAATGCTAAGAATTGGACTATCTCTCTCTAGTAAAAATCTGTCACCCCGAGAATTAAATGATTGAATAAATGTTTAATCAAGGAAATTAAGAAAGGCTAAATAACTTGCACAGTTCATATAAAATTCATTGAATATGCAAGTTTAAATTTCAATACTTAAACATGAAAAGTCTGTTTAAAATGAGAACTGAAGATCAGAAGTTAGTAGTTAACCAGGAAAAGTAAGAACGTGTGTGTATGGAGTGTTGTGGTTTTTCTCCTTACTTTACAATAGTTAAAATAATCTGACATAGTATCAAAATAACCTCTAGATTATGACTTAATTAAAGTAAGATTTGTTGTGCAGAACTGTTCTTATACTTTCTGCTGCTAAGATTCAGATCAGTTTACCATAATAGCAATCATTTCTCATTCCACATGTAGTCTGAATGTTGTTTATTAATGCTGTGATTAATGACACTTGGACAGACTGTTCCTTAAAGGTGACAATAATTTTGTTTTTGAAAGAGAATTTAACCTATCTGATTTCTTTCAGTGAAATTGTCGCATTTCATATACCTGGCTTAAAAAAAAAAAAAAAACTTAAGCTGAAAAGTAACCCTTTTGAGAAATAGAGGAGATATATAATAGAACAAATTGGGCAAAGATAAAATGGAATTGACTTGATTATTTTTATTTTATATTTTTATCTACGTGAATGTGCAGAGGTTTATCAGAATGTTTTTCTTGAAGGTCAGCAACTGTAATTTGTATCGCCTTGGGAAAAAGAAAGGACTGCCTAGTCGCATGGTCGTATCCATTTTTGACCCCCCTGTCAATTGGCTTCCACCTGGTTACATAGTGAACCAGGACAAGAGCAACACTGATAAATGGGAGAAGGATGAAATGGTAAGATTTAGTTTTATTGTGTTAAGCAATAATTGTCTGCATGTATCTATACATCCCAACGACAGTGATCGGAATTCTTTCACCTTTCTTCCCCTACCCCAAATATTTTGTCATATTTTCAGTTGAAAAATAATTCTACGTCTTTGTTTCCCTTCTCTATAAAACTGCATCATAACTTACAGAAAATGAGATAAAAAATGAATAGAACCGAAAGTAGGAAAAGTGTTGAAGATCAAGCAGTAGTGAATGTCAATATGATAATAGAAGAGCAGAGAAGAAGGCCTTTTGCTTTTTCATAGCAGATGAGCTCATGACAGCATGATCTGAAATTTCTCACAGAGCTTAAACTGAATTATGAGTAGTCTTTTTGGTGTAATGTGTGTATGCAGAACGCTCTGCCTGTCTGTTGGCCTTTCAGTAAATAGTAAATTTACCTTTGTAGAAAGGTGAGTTGAAGCAGTAGTTGATAATAAGAATTAAAATTGTCACGTGACTTCAGTCAGCTGTCAGCTACAGTACTGGAATAACTGAGAGCTACTCATCAGAAAAAAATGGTGACAGGCCCCATCATTGTCCATGAGCAATAGCTTCAGAATGACCAATTTTAATGAGAAGCTATTCGGATTGTTTACTGTTTATGGTTATTGTATGCTTAAAGTGAATGCTCAAGAAATATCAGTGATGACAAGTCAGTCTAACTTTTTCTGTTTCTGGAATTGTTTGTTTGTTTTCCGTTTTGCAATTCTGAAGACCATGCTCAGATTGTGGAACCACTAGAGGGCACATGAGAGGTCTTTTAGGTAGATGTGCTGTGCAAATAAATGTTTATTGCAGAATAAAACAACCTGATTATTGTAGCTTTATACTGTGCCAAGGTTTCATTTCAGGAGGCTTACTGTTATACCTTTCTAAAAATAAAATAGCACATTTGGGACAGGAGCAAGTTTTTGCTTTTAGAGAACTTTAAATTCTCCGTAACTCTTCAATGGTCTGTCCAGCCTTGCAAGCCACACTTCATTTGTAAATAAAATATACAATTCCAGTCCAAAATTCAGAGTTATTTAAGTAAGGTGTGGGGATTTTTGTGCCAATTGAGAGTCCAGACATTTTGCAGTTTCGCACATAAATTTCATTCTTGGTCCATGGGGTGGTGATGTTTATAACTGGGGTGAGAAGTCCCGTAGCTCTTTGAATTATTACTAAAAGATCCTAGAGAAATATCGGTATATTTGGCGTTATCAAGCATTAGGAACTTCCCATTAATCAAATCAACAGGCTAGTTAATTAAGTAGCTAATTTCAAAGAAGCATAAAAGAAATATATTTTATCTTCTGCTTGAAATGAAAGCGCCCTTAACTTGTTTAGAATCAAGAAGGTGTTCCTTCAAAAAAAGAAGCTTATTTGTTCTTTCATTGTTGATTATTTCTGGACTGATGGCTAATTATTAGAAAAAAATCTGGCTTCTTTACTACAGTACTTTGTTATTACTCTTCTATGTAAGAAATGATGTGCAAGTGATGTTAAGATAGTTCACTTAGCTACGTTGCTAATTTAGTTGAGAAGCTTGTAGATGAAATCATAGTGAAAATGAGATTTATCAGTTAATTTTTCAATGTGTACACAAACAGACACTGAAATTGAAATTATTTTTAAATCTTCCACATGAACATTTCTCGTTCAGGAACTTTTATTTTCATTTCAATGACAGCAGCAATAGTGGGGTATGATATGCAAAAATTGATACTTATTTTAGGTGGGATTTATCCTGCCTCAAGCATCATGCTGTTACCAGTATCCTAAATAAGTACTTTAAATCAAATTCTGTTATCTGTTACTGGAAAGTTAAGTTCCAGAAATGGCCACTCTGGGGATGTCATTTGGATACTTGGCAGCAGACATTTTTTGAGCAAGATGTGCCGAAGCTACGGTTTTCCACAGCCACCTTTTTTCTCTAATTGCTAAAGCTGCTTCATCAGGATAGAGAAGGTTATGATCCGTTCGACCGTTGCGTAGTTTTGAGCAGCCTCAGCGTGCCCTCCTGCTGCCAAGCGTCGGAGCTCTGCGGCGTCGTGCCTTTAGCCTCGGCAAAGGTGGACACCCCGGCAGCAGCAGCTGCCCCACAGATCCTTCCTCATGGTTACGGAGCTGGGACCTGCAGTTTGATTGCCAAGGTGCAGGACAGTTAGAGGCTCTGTTATCTCACTTGCTTCAAAATGGTGTTGGCTTTCAGGACCCAATCCAGAAAAGCACTTTGAAAAGAGTAAGATTGGATTCAAATTCAGTGGCAGAATTCCCATTCGTATCAGGGATGCGGGATTGAGCCTGCGAGTAGTCGTCCTTTTGATATAAGGAGGACTACTTGTGCACCTAGTTAATATGTCTAAGTGCTTTCCTGGATTGAGGCCATAGCAAATTGTACAGCATTATATAGCCTGGGCGTATCTGTGTTAAATTTGTAATTTACTTCAGTCCATATCAGTTTGCTCCAGATGAGCAGGGAAAAGAGACGAGACGTCATTACTTTACTGTTGTAGATATATACGTATTAGAAAATTAGGGACAAGTTTAAGTTTTCTGTTAATTAGGTAAGGCTGTAACTTCAATTTGAAGTCTATATTTCAGTATGACTAAAATACAAGAAACATGTACTTGTTTAAAGAGATAAGTTTAATAGTAATTGCCTTTCCATTGCATTATACTCCTTAATTACTTAATGTGTATGTTAATACTTAGTAAAAATAAGTAACACCTCAACCTTACCAAAGTTGAGGTGTTACTCTTCCATTCTTAGGTTTGCTCTATTCAAATCCTGGAAATATTACAAAATGTCTGACAAACTGGAGGGATATCTCTGTTAAAATTAAGAATCATTAATTTGTGCTGTGTTTCTAATGTTGAATCAAAAATTGATCTATATCTAATTTCTTCAAATATCTCAATCGCTCCCTGGATCTGGCACATGCTCTCCAGACTGTCAAACATTACACTCTTCCCAACTAATTATCATTACACACTTGCACTGATCCTCTAAACTTATTTTTTGTTAGTCTGCCAAATAGACTACTCACTGTTGTTATGGTTGTACGGAAAGATATTTTGCTGCTTTTGAGGGATAATCATAAGGTAAAGGAACTTCTTACAGTTGTTTTGTTGATTTTATTTTCCTTTTGTGTATCCCAAAACTGAGATTATGTGTCAGGTACTATTGCAAAACATTGCAAACACTTTAGTTAGAAAAAAGCACACGAGTGTTTCTTTTTACTTCTCTAAATCTGCTAATTGTAGATTTTTTTCCCTAGTTTACCTTGGTGTATAAGTGTAAAATTGCATTTGATATATGGATCAGAAGCAACTATAATCATGAGATTGTATTCCTATGAAATGTTACATGTCTTGTAGGTAAAATATATGCTACTTATTATAGGGTAATACTGAAGATTCTGTATTCCAAAGCAATTATTTTAATCTTAGAATGGTGATTAGACAATATAATTAGGAACATTAATAATATTTTTTTTAATGTTCAGACTTATTAGCAGATAATACTCGCATCCTACTCTTACGGGATTTCCTAAATCAAAGACGATCATTCTTCTTGTTCGTACTGCATTCTGTGTGTTTGTGTGTTCTCTTATAGACAAAGGAGAATTTGGCTAATGGTAAACTTGGAGATTATGAGGAGGAGGAGGAAGATGAAGACCTGATGTGGAGGTTACCCAAGGAAGAAGCAGACTTTGAAGATGATTTTTTGGAATATGATCAGGAACATATCAAATTCATAGATAATATGTTAATGGGATCAGGGGCTTTTGTGAAGAAAATTTCTCTCTCGCCCTTTTCAACCACTGATTCAAACTATGAATGGAAAGCACCCAAAAAGTCATCCCTGGGTAATGTTCAGTTTTCATCGGATTTCGATGATTTTGACTACAGCTCTTGGGATGCGATGTGCTACCTGGATCCTAGCAAGGCTGTTGAAGAGGATGATTTTGTAGTGGGCTTCTGGAACCCATCGGAAGAAAACTGTGGCGTTGATGCAGGAAAACAGTCTATCTCGTATGACTTGCATACGGAGCAGTGCATCGCTGACAAAAGCATCGCGGACTGTGTGGAAGCCTTGTTGGGCTGCTACCTGACCAGCTGTGGCGAGAGAGCTGCGCAGCTTTTCCTGTGTTCACTGGGGCTGAAGGTGCTCCCTGTGATTAAGAAGACTGATTGGGAAAGCACTTTGTGTGCTGCCAGAGAGAACTGTAGCAGTCAGCAGAAAAATCTTTCACCAAACTCTGTTTCTGCTTCTGTAGTTAATTCAGAGCCCTCTCTGTATAAAGACCTGGAGTATGGCTGCTTGAAGATTCCACCAAGGTGTATGTTTGATCACCCAGATGCTGAAAAAACCCTGAATCATCTTATTTCTGGCTTTGAAAACTTCGAGAGGAAAATAAATTACAGTTTCAAGAACAAGGCTTATCTTCTTCAGGCATTTACTCATGCCTCTTATCATTACAATACCATAACTGGTAAGTTGTCTTAAAGGAACTATGTTTCCTATATTATGAATAATGTGTTCCCATGCATAGTCCTTTTATGATATTTCTTCTTATTTTAACATATTAAGAAGACAGTGACCTCTGAATGCAAAAAGAATCTTAGAGAATACTATCTTGTCACTGATTTAGAGGAGGACACTTATTGAAGCTTTAGAATATGAATAATTCCTGTTTTGTCTTGATACAGATGTAGGACTTCCTGAAGCTTGATTAAGCTTCAGGAAAGAACACTTTATATCTCCAACCCTTTCTCACTAGGTGTATACAACTGATGCCAGAGGCCAGAGTTGGCATTTTTTCTTACGTAACTCTAAATTACCATGTATTTCTAGAAATGTATCTCTCATGTTTTGCAAGTATATTTAGCAAAATTTTCCCATAATATAATCCCAGATATTTTACTCTGATTGTATTTTTGAACAGTAAAATTAGACCATAGAACATTTATTAACTCAATAGTCTGTATAATAGCAAAATAAAGAGACTTTGATTTGAAGTTTAATTTAAGTCCAAGTATATTATAGAGTAAATGTTTAAAACTGAAGCGATTTGCTAAGTCAGACTAAATATTAATTTCAGGGTGACTGCTTAATGCTTCTGTACCTGATCTCAAAAGATTTGACACAAATACACATTCTTGAGTTAGCAAATGTTTTTAATTATGTTTGCTTATGCTATTTGAATTATTAATTTAGTATTTGTTCTTTTTTAAACCTTAAATATTTCCCTACGATAATATGCATTTGAAATCAAAACAAGCTAAAATTCCAACCCTATTTGAAATGGACATCAAATTTCTGAGCAGTCAGCAGTCTGAATCTTTCTCATCCTGAATTAGTTTCTTATTCCAAGAAATAAGAAATCTCTGCTTTAATTAAAGAAATAAGTCATTTTGAAATCTTAATACATTAAGAAAGTGTTCTGACACTTTTTTCTGATACTATTTCTTTCATTTTTCATCTGAGGTAGCATTGCCTTCTTACATATTTATGTTTTACAAATATTTCACAAAATCTGTGGAAGGTAGTATTTTTTTAATGTATAGATTATATAGAATATATATAGATTTATATAGAGAGATTTAATATATAGATTGTATAGAACATATAGAAATGGGAGCAATAACGCATAATATCTAGATAAAATTATGCTGTTAGCACAACGTTTTGATTCCAGGTCCTTTTTTGTTTAACAAGGAAGACAATTTTGAATTGCTGTTATAGTACTTTTGTTTTTTACAAGGAGCAGCAGTTGAGATCTAGCCATACCCTAGGTTCAGCTGCTGTAAAGGTACTTTCCTACTAACCATTTCACCATAATATTACTTTTGTGACAATTCTGTCATCCTTCTCCCACCTATCCCTACTGGTTTTCTGCAGTTTTTTTTTTTTTTGGTTATATTCTAAAAATACACCTTTATGAGTCTCTAGCCAGCATAATTCTCAAATTCAAACAGTGAAAGCTTCCAAGTCTCAGTTTTCATTTTAAAAGAATCCATTGTGAATGCGAATCTCTGTTCAACGCACTTCCGGAAGTCTGAATGTTGTAGGAAATTGGATCAAAAATTTCAGGTTTTATATTCCTCTTTATGTATTGATTTCAATATTCATTTTTTGAGATTTGATTATCATCTGTTCCAGATCAGCCAGATGATAGACTTTCTTAATTTTTCTTTGTACATTTTTACCCCTCAGGGCAGTGTAAAGATCTTGAGCATAAGTTTTAATTCATTAGGAACATAGAGGTTTTTTGCTAGTCTAGTCTGACATGAATTAATGTTTGGTTGAAAAGTGTCCAAAGTTTGATTGAAAATTTTCTGTTGTGTGGGTTTTTTTTGTTTGTTTGTTTTGCTTTTTATTTTTGTATTCCACTAGAAACTTTAAACAAACTCAGCAGAAAGATATCTCTTTTAAAACCATGTTTTCTTTTCTAACTGTGGGTAAGTTTGTGGTATTTATATGGCAGCCTACCAGACTTCTTGCTCAGGCCTGGAAAGAATGTGTGCATTAAACTTGTGTTGTTGTACATTCTTTTATTTGCAATGCCATAAGATTGTTACCAGCGCCTAGAATTCCTGGGAGATGCAATTTTGGACTACCTCATAACCAAGCACCTTTATGAAGACCCACGGCAACACTCTCCAGGAGTTCTTACCGACCTGCGGTCTGCTCTGGTCAATAACACCATCTTTGCATCACTGGCTGTAAAGTATGACTACCACAAGTACTTCAAAGCCGTCTCTCCCGAGCTGTTCCATGTTATTGATGACTTTGTACAGTTTCAAATGGAAAAGAACGAAATGCAAGGAATGGATTCGGAGGTTAGTGGTGGTAGAAAAACGTGTTTGGAAGCTTGTCATGTAGGAGACAAAGAAGCAGGTGGCTCACGATAATAAAGCACTAAATATGCAAAATAAAATACAATCTTCAAAAAGGGTAAAGTGAATAAAAGCACTCAATGTAATTAAATTGAAACCAGGCATGCCTTTAGGATTATCTTCTGTGGCACCTGATTTCAGTCAGTTTTTTACCCTCTTTTTTTCTTCTTTTTTTTCCTTTTTTTTTCTCCTTTTTTCTTTTTTTTCTTTTTTCCTCCCCAGACTTTTCTTACTTTTCTTCACCAATTGATTAAAAACATTATCATGAAAATAACTTCAGCAAAGAGGCACTAGGTCACAGAATAGTGTCTTAGGATAGGACTTCAGTGCAACACCATTAACAACGATATCTTGGCAGAAAGCAGGGCTTGCTTAATGTGGTAGTACCGTGTGACAGAGTTCTGTGCTCTTTTTATTCTGATGGTTTCTTCTGGAGCAGACATCATCACATTGTAATCCAGAGTGTGTTTCTGACGTGCTGCTAAAGGCTTTATTTCTGCTAGCCATGGAGACATTATAAGCATCTTTCAAAGAAACCACTAGAAAAAATAATTTAACCGAAATCTTGAATATAGCGATCCTATCTGTGCTATGCTGAAAAACTCATGATAATGAACACTTATTTGCCAGAGAGTCAACTAAAACCAACTAATGTAAAAGAGCTGCTCAGAAATGAAAGCAGGGATGCTCTAGGTTGTATTCTGAGAGGTGGACTTGATTATTAATGATCTTTTTAAATACTATATAATCACTTAACAGGTTATAGTCACCTTTAATAATTTCCTTTCTGATACACAATTTAAAATCTTGGGGACTAGAAGGGTTGTATTTGTTTACAACCCTTGCATTTGTCACAGAGGGAAATCCATATGTTTTCTGGGAACGTTTAGAAAACAGTGACCAAGAAATTTGTTGCTGATATTTAGATAGTATGAATTATTTTATATTAACGGATCAGATTGTTATCTGTATAATAATCGTTATGCTGTAAGTAGAAAGACTAGGAACTCAAATTGAGAGCTCGGAGCAGTGATTTCTTACCTTTTTTCAGTTTCTGCTGTTATGCGCAAAGATTGCCTCAAAAATTCCACAAAAGTTGCAACCAAATTATAAGAATAGCTGTTTCAAATAAAATTCTTGTTCATTCTCCCCATGCCTGCTCCCTATCTTGGTCTGGCACTGACTTGCTGAAACTTATTTCATCACAGTTAATGCAAGAGTCTTTGTTTCAGCAGTTCATGCCAGTTAGACTGGTCTCCATGTGTGTCTCCACATCATCTGCTTTTCTTTTTTAGAGCTCACTTCTGAAACATCTGTTGTCTCTTGCCATATAGCTCTTAATTTCTCTCTCCCTGTTATTTTAGTACTATATAACTCTAAAGTGCTGGAATATACTCTTAGAATGCAACACATTATTCAAAATAGTTGATTTTTTTTTCTTACCTTCAAAATTCCTGTTTGGAGGGCATACAAACCAAGTGACTCCTTGTTTGATTTATTTTGGGTAGAAGTACTGGATGGGACTAGTTCTTGAGTGTTATGGTGGCTGTTAAAAAGCCTGAAGGCTTAGCATGGTCTTTTGACCCCTGAACTGGATTTCACCCAAATGGAGTGAGAGCCTGGCCACTGGGTAAGAGAAAAGACAGGCAGACACTTGTTTCTCTTTCCTTGGAGGGGAGCAATGGTTTGTAAGGGGAATAGGCTATTGTCTTAAATGAAGAGTGCAGAGAAAAAAATCTGCCTGCCTTAAAAGTACCTTATTGTGCCTGTAAAATACCGTAGTATCTTAGTCTGATGTTGCTAGTTATTGACTACTCAGGGCCTATTTTATTAATGCTTCCTTTGTGTCTTTCTTCTAGGTAAAGGAGGCATGGAAAGGGGGCTTCCTGTTTTCTTCCAAAGCTTCCCTCTAGTTGCTTAAAGTATTAATTCCCTTTTTTTTTTTTTTTCCCGCCTTTGGGTGTTTCTTTTTTTTCTTTCATTATGAATGGCTTTCTAATATTAACTGGTAGAGGCAAGTCTGTTTCTTATTGGAAAAAACAGACCTGTGGTGAAATCCTACAAAATTATTACAGGAAGAATTCACAAAGCATATAAGGTCTCTGTACACTATGGTGTTTGGGGATTTTTTTCACATTTGAAAAATGATATATCCAACAACTTGCTTTCATTGGGGAATAAAAGAATGATTTCACTTTGGAAAGTTGACAGTGAAAGACTTAAAGGAGGCAGCTCAGGATAGGGTGTAAGAGAACTTAACATTTCTGAAGATCTTTGTTTTATTTTAAAAGGAGCAAATGTCTCTCTTCTCCTCCCTTCCCCTCCCCTCTCCCCCCTGCCTTGTCTCTTTCTAATTGCAAACAGCTCAGAAGATCTGAAGAAGATGAAGAAAAAGAAGAAGACATTGAAGTACCAAAGGCCATGGGGGATATATTCGAGTCCCTTGCTGGTGCCATTTATATGGATAGTGGAATGTCTTTGGAAATGGTTTGGCAAGTGTACTATCCGATGATGAGGCCACTAATAGGTATTGTCACTTCCTGAGGAAAAAAGAAATTAATTGTTAAGTAGCAAATGCTAAGAAGACAACAAAAATCATTTTTATTTTTTTAACAGAAAAGTTTTCTGCAAATGTACCCCGTTCCCCAGTGCGAGAGCTGCTGGAGATGGAACCAGAGACAGCCAAATTTAGGTAAGAATAAATTTACTTCAATACACAGTGTGATAGAATAACCTTAAGCTATGCTTCATCAACAGCTGAGTCCTTTTAATTTCCTGAGGCACGATAGAATAACCTTAAGCTATGCTTCATAAACAGCTGAAGATTAAGTGTCCTGAGTGCCTTTTAATTTCTTCTTCACTAAGCACTTGGGGTATTGATGTTTTGTTGTGTTTCCCCAGTTGTTACTTTCTGAAGAAAGTAGTGATTTCTGTTTGATTATAGTCCTCTAACTTCAGTCGAAAAGGGAACACAGGTCTCTTATTTCACCTTAACTTGCCCAGCCAGTAAGTAATTCTTGCGTGTGTTTTTGCAGTCCCGCAGAAAGAACTTACGATGGGAAGGTCAGAGTAACGGTGGAAGTTGTAGGAAAGGGCAAGTTTAAAGGTGTTGGCAGAAGCTACAGGATTGCCAAATCTGCAGCTGCAAGAAGAGCACTACGAAGCCTCAAAGCAAATCAACCTCAGGTCCCAAACAGCTGAGACTCCTCTTAAAAGTAAATAAAATGGGGGTGAAAAACACACAAATAAAGCAAGTTTTTAAAATCGTCGATGTGGAGAGGAACAAATTGAAGACAGAATTTAAAGTTTGTTTGATAACAGATAACAAAACATTTAACATGTATAAAATTTTGGAACTAATTGCAGTTATAGTTTTTTGCGCAAACACAATCTTGTCTTCTTTCCTCACTTCTGCTTTGTTTAATCACAAGAGTGCTTTAATGATAACATTTAGCAAGTGTTCAGAATAATTGTTGTCAGGTCTTTTTGCTTTACTTTATTGTCAGTACAGCTTTGCTTAGTGTTAGAAGGCCAGGGAGCTTAGGCCTAATGCAGTTGCTAGATTTATATATAATAATCTTGAAATTCTTCAATCTGTGCACTAGTGCCAGTCATAAAGCAGTTGGTAAACTGTATTGGATGATTGGGTATAAGAAAGAATAAGTGTGCCAGTATTGTCTCTTTTTTTTCCCTCCTTCATGTCATCTTTTGCATTAAGATGATATTCCTAATCATTATTGCACTTATTTGTTAGGGACAGATTTTAATTGAAATGACTGGCATACTGGTAGAATGAAATTTCAATTTCCTTATGCCACATAGTCTTGCATTTAAGAAAAGAAAAAAAAAAAGAAAAAAAAAAGGTTCTTGCCTTAAAAATAAATAAACCCTCATTAATAATCTTTAATTTCTGATCTTTTTTTGGAACAAACAATTTTACATTCCCTTCATTTTGTTACACATTTTGCAATGATACAGCTCTATATTTACAGTACAACTCATTAATATAGCTGTGACTTATTACAAGATTATAATAGAAGTTGTATTCATATATATGTGATTAGGTTATTTTTAACAATTCAGAGGAGGTGGTTAGTCTACAGATTTTTTTTGTTTTTTTATACCATAAACAAAATACGGTCTTTGGCTAAAATTCCGATTTTACACAAACCTGCAAGCTAGATAGTTCCGATACTGGAAACATTAATGAATAATGCACAGTCACTAACAAAATAACCTTAGACATATCACACCTAAAATATGCTGCAGATTTTATAGTCAGTTGGTTATGTATTTAACAAATGGAGCACCTTTAGACCTAGAGATATTTCCACGTAAATTTCTTACTGTACTTTTCAGAGTTGCATGCATATTTCACCTACCAAAGCTGTGCTGTTAAATGCCATGAAAGCTGATGTTTGAGATAAAACTGCCGTACTTTTGATACATCTGTGATTTAGGTCCTTAATTTAGAGAAACTAGCTCATTCGTGTTTTGATCTACGTGGGGGTGGGGGGGAAATCATACTTTCTTTTTTTTAGGCTTTGCCTATCTTTCTTTCATTAGATTTTTGTAGGCACTCTTCACTTGAATACCTCAGTTCTTTTTTCCTTTTCTTTTTCTTTCTTTCGTTGCATGCATTGTTTTTTTTCTTTTTTTTTCCTGTTTTGGTGCTATGTTTATATATTATGCTTGAAATTTTAATTTTTTGCACTGTAACTATAATACCTCTTAATTTACCTTTTTTAAAAGCTGGGGGTCTCGTATTCCCACCAATATCAGTAGAGGTTTGCTGCAATTTTGCCCTGTTTAATTATGCTTGAAGTTTGAGAAAGCAGAGCAAGGTGTTTTAATGTTTTCCAGCACAATAGTTTGAACTTGATGCTGTGTCTATGTATTAAATTACAAATAAATACTGTATTTCCTGCTTTTAAAACCCTATTCCTTTCCTCACAAATGCACACTAAAACAAAACAAGAACTGTCAGCTCTAGCTTTCTTAAAAAAAACAAACAACAAAAAAAGAAAAACGCCTTAGTGGCAAGGGGTAGGCATTAAGCTTTTCTGAAATACAGTTTTCAAAAGTTTATATATTTTCTATTTTAATTACTTTTTGTTTTGCAAATTGAGCAGTTTCTGTATTTGAAAACAGCATTAGTATAGTAGTCAAACGAAGAAGTCTAATACTAGCTTGTAAAAGAGTTCTAGCATTTCTTTGGTACTCGGTCATGAAAAAGAGGAAAGAACAAGTCTTTATGTGTACAAACAAATGTAAATGAAATGAAACATACAGGCTAAATTTTAAAAGATTATTTGCTTTGAGGTAGCCAGTTAAAAATTACTGATCTGTATTATAGGTATTTCTTAATAATAGAAGTGAAATTTCTTAGGGAGAATACATCATTAGTGTTAACAATTCTGACGTTCTGGCCAGGGAAAAATCAGACCAACTCCTACATAATGTAAAATTAAAAAGTTAGTCTTTTAACACCTAAATTTCTTACTTATTGTTAGAAGGTTATAGATTCTCAGGGTTTTTGGCTAATGGTTAGAAATGCTGCAAATGTTTTGATGCAAAGGAAAGTAACTGAATTTGTTCTGTATTTCAGAATTGTTTAATGATTGCTTTTTTTACTAGACAGAGCCTATGAATTGGAAACCTGAAATGTGTAGTGGCTGACTATAAAGTAGTTTCTGCTGCTGATGCGTTTTAAGATGTGTTTTAAATGCCGCATTTTTTTCCAGTGTGACCTCATTGAAATACTTTGTATCCTTTGATATAGAAAAATTATTAGTTTCCATGTTACACATCTGTGTGTTTTGCCCTTCAGTTGATATGATTTTGATGTTGGACAACGTATGCTATTAAAGACCTAAATCTGATCGTTTGGAGGTTGGGTAGAAATCCCTTGACGTGCTGTAAGCGCAAGTGTGAGCAAAGTGTTACAGCCCATCTTCAAAAGCACCACCCAGGCTCCTCGTAAATAGTGTGGGGGTTAGTTGGCATGAACCTTGTTTTTTTTTTTAATTATTATTTGTTTTTGGTTTTTTAACTTCTTATTCCTATTATACTGTACTTTAAACAGTCCTCCTAACTATGCTGCGTTTTTATTTTTATGGCTTTTTTTTTGCGCTGTTCTGTTCATGTAGCACAAATAAGCATTGCACTTGGTACCATGCTTTACCTCATTTCAAGGAAAAAAATGCTTAACAGAGAGGAAAAAATGTGGTTTGGCCTTGCTGCTGTTTTGATTTACTGAATTTGAAAAAGATAATTATAATGCCTGCAATGTGTCATTTACTTGCACAACTTAAATAGGTCATTTGTAATGTCTGTGGCATTTTTACTGTATGTGGAAAATACAACAAACGTGTAACAAAACTCTTGATTGTATTTTAAAACTATTGTTTTTTATGACATCATTTTTACTGTTATGTGAAGTAATTAAAATTAGAATGACCTCTGACACTCCTGTAATTATCTCTGAACAAACCAATATATTATGAAGATAATGTAGTTTTGCAAGAAGACAGCCTGTAGTAATTTGGTCAAACTCAACTAAATCGCCACTTGTTCTGGATATTGAGTGCCCAGTAGTGACTTCTGAAGTGTTTGTTCAGCTTGATGCTGCTAAAGTTCCTGCAGAAAAAGCCTGCTATTTTTTGTCTCATTACACAGTGGTCTGTTTTAGCCGCAGAGTGCAGAACGTCGCAGTCCAGACCAATCCCAGGGCTGGGGAGGAGCACAGTGCTGGCCCAGTGAGGAGGTGCTGGATGCTCAGCTAGTGCAAACTGATGTAGTATCATTTTAATTTGTAGAACTGCAATTGATTTTTACATATCTGAAGATCTTGTGCTTATGTATATATGTTGCAGAGTGATTTTTTTTTTTCTTTTTTTTCCATCTCCTTGTAAGTAAATATAGAACCATCAACTGGAAAATGTGTTTTGTTTTGTTTTTTTATGTTGCTGCATACAACATAAGTATGTTACAAAGACTTTTTCATTATTATTATTATTCTCTATATAAATGCATGTATCCCAGGCTCAGCAGCACGCATAATCTGAAAATGACAAATAGCTTTGTGATCTGCTGTGATATTACACTCGCCTCTGTCTGACAATGTTCCCTCAAAAAGGAGTCTCATGGAAATTTCTATTTATTATGTAAGTAAAGTGAGAAGGAATTTGAATTTTGGTACGTAATTACTGACATTGATCCTTTTTAAAATGTGTTAATTTTCACAACGTTAAAATAAAATTACTTTTCATATTAGGTTTAAACCTTAAACACTACAGTTCATGACCATGAAATGTAATCTTAATATCAACTGTAACTCAATCTGAATTAAGTTAGCAAATATCTAGAGGTCATTGTAGTATACTCCACTAGCAGTTAAAATTAACTTCTGTAAAGGCTAACTACACTTTTAAAAATAATTTTTATCTGATAAATCCCCTGGATTTCTTCCCTCTTTTGATTGGCAACCACAGACTATTTTAATTGCTTTGTAGATGCACTCAGAATTTCCTGCAGCAGCAAGCTATAGAGAAAAATGTTGGTGAAGAAGAATTGGAAATTGCAGGCATTTTTATTGTAAATATTTTGACTGAAACGATGGTTAAAATCAAGTAGAATGAATAACATTGTAGAATGAATAATGAATAATTTGATGGACAATAAAATACCTACCATCACATGCTGCAGCTGTCTTTAAGGGACATAAAATGTAATTCATTCATACTGTAATCATGCTGCAGAAGTTTGCAATCTGCACCTTATGGATCACAATTACCTTTAATAGTTTTTTGTAATAATTGTAGCTGAGTATATCTCCAATAAAGTTATGGTCTGTTCACCTTATATTGTCTCTTTCCTTTTGTTTTTATTTCCTATTAATCTTCCCAAAAATCTTTTGTAGCTTACAAGAATTTACGTTACAGTCTTAACTAAAAACAGGAAGGCTGTATGTCTCAGCCTCGTTTCAATGCAAGCCTACCTGTCTCCTTCCTCTGAGGAACGGACTCTCTTCATAGGTGTGTAAAAACACTCTGAAGGGACACTCGGGTTGAAAACGCCTGTGTGCTACCATTTCATCTCTGTGTTGACCATTTACCTGCCAAGTGTCTGCTGAGGCTGGGAGGCCCCATGGCACAGGGCTTCAGAAACGGGCTTGCCTGCACCATTGGCACAAGTGTTTGAGAATAACCTTTCTTAATCTTTGCTACTGGTTCCCAAATTAATAAAATTGTTTTTAATTATTTCTTCTGTGCTTTACCTTAGTGTTTTGCTTATGCTGAATATTAAAACCATCTCTGCAGTTTTCTGACTTTGGCACCACTGTCACATGTCAGCGCTTTAAGGAGCCCAGACCTGCCAGGCAGATCAAGGCGTGTTGGTTCTAGAAGGCTCCCTGGTGCAGTCTGTTCCTTGGTGGTTGCAGTGGATGTTTTCTCTCGCTCCACATCTCGGATTGAAGAGGAGAGCCTGGTGAGCTGCTAATAGGTGTGATGTTGCCTTTCTCCTTTAGAAGAGGGCCTGATTGCCCAGGACTTGCAGCAGCTTTAGCTTTTGCTTTGTCTCAGCTGTAGGGAAGCAAACAATTCTCAGCTGAGAATCCAGAGGAAAGTTTATTGGCTTGTTTTACTGGCTTTCTAACTTTTTTTTTTTTTCCCCCCACTTTAGGGTGCATTTTGGCAGTGCTCCTGATAGGGCACTGCTGCCTGTGTTCTGATAAGTTGGTCAAATGATAAAACTATTTACGGAGTAAATTTCTGTGGGAAAGCGATCCTGAAAAATAATTCTCCTTATAATCTTGATTCTGCAGGAGTAAGGTGTGGGATTGCCATCCAATCTCGAGTCTCATAGGCAGTGATCCA